TAGCGCCTTTTGATTTAATTCGGAATCCGGGTTAGCGCATTAAATCAAAGGGAATTACATATAGTTCCTTTTGATTTTATTCGTAATCGCTGATTCCCTGTTTTGCGATTTTTCAGGGGCTGATTCCAGGGGATGAAATTAGTATTTTGGGGGCATATTTACGTGTGAGAGCAGCCTATTACATGGAGAATCCAGATCCGTTAAAAACTGAAATTTGGAAATTTGGCGCTTAGTTCCCTTTCGTATAAATACGTCCATTTAGCCATCAGGCATATTCTCCAAGATCAGGGAATTTTGGCAATGAATCATGGCATTTTCTCATTTCTGTGGCAGCCCTGCTGGAGGAACATTTTTCAGAAGAGGAATGTTCAGCAAGTTAGATTAAGGGATTCGAGTTAAAGTTTTTAATGAAGTAAGTTCTTCTATTCCGAAGAACAAATTGCAAGCAGTAGAGTTAATTTTCTGGTAGTAGGAGGCTTTTTAAATCAGACCAGGTAGAACTCGGAGCATGGCAGATTCTTTTAATGGATAGCTGCAAACTTAAATTGTAGCTTCAGTTAGGTTTGGCATTTTAGGAAGTTTCTTGTAGGTGGCAAAAATTTTATAAAATTATTTTCTCAACAAAGGAACAGTTATCACAAATTAGAGCTTTTCAGCTTTACTAACCCACCCTTTACCCATGGATGATGGCATATTTTACTCTATAATATAAAATCATGAGAGTGGCGTTTGACATATGGGGCTCGAAGCGGTCAAGGGGTACAGCTCCCTAGTTATTTTATAAAAACAAGGTATGAAGGGTAGGGGTAGGAATGGGAGTTTGCTGGATTAAAAAACAATAAGCAGTTATTTCAGTCATGGGTACTGTATTGCTCAGAAATATCAATGCAAATTAATTTTTCAGTTACAAATTAAATTTTGGGTAAGCAGCGAATGTGGTACTACAATATCTCCGATAATGAGGTGACGGCTACTTCAGGCATGGGTTGCTGATTTGGGTAGTTAGGTGGTCGATACAGTATATCAATCAGTTTATAAATGCTGAAATATTGAGCACTGGAGCAACTAAAGTACAGTGCTAAGATCCATTCGTTTTAAAGAGAGCAACAAGTTGGTCGAGAGAAAATAATTAATATGATCAGCCATTAATCGAGAAAGGGGGATAGATTAATTCGAGGGTCCCAGTGATTCATTCTTTCATGGCAATTATTAAAGTCATGATACAGACACCACTGGCACAAGTAAAACGGATTATAAGAAAACTCAATTTTAAACTGAAAGAATAGTGACCATAGGTGCCTGTTTTCTCTTGCTGAATTCTTTAAGTGTCATGATAGGCATGTTTTCCAAAGATGATCCAACCAATCATCAAAAGAGAGCATGTCTTTCTTGAAAAATTTGATAGGAACAGGCTTTAATGACAGTGGTTAAAGCCCTTGAAAATCATGATTACAGGAGAAGGCTGTAATTTTTAATACATTTGAGATTATATGTGTGAAATGCCTTTAGAGACAGCTCTGTAGATTGGACTGAATGTACAAGAATCAAAAGAGGGTTTGTGCTATGAAGAGGACACTTAAAGATCTAAATTTTTAACAATGAAAATTTTTTTTTAAAAGTTACAATTTTTGTGCTGCCATGCAATTTGTTTGTACAAAATTGATAGATCGAATCAATTGTGATTTCAAAAAAGGCAACTGGCTGTTGAAGAGAATTGGTGTTGGAAGCGTTATTTGTCCTTAAAAACGTGTGATTAGTTTTATGGAAGAAATTACACCATGTCAACAACATTCAAATGAAGAGCAATCCAGTTTTTAAAGTTTAAATATTCAAGTATGATTTAAGGTAGGAATTATCGTCAGGCTGTAAAATATGCTCATTGAAAAGCAAAAAATTTTGTTGTTCCTCCAAATCACTTACACTAAGTGACGGATTTTCTCCTTACACAGGTTTTATCAACCTCATTGCAATTGTATTTCATGAAGAGATGAAATAACTGTTGTAGGTAAGCTCAACACTGCTATATCCTCGTCAGTCTGACACCAATACAGCCATACATTGTGTCAACATACATACATTGCTCAACTAAACACCGGAGAATATGGACAGTCAAATACTTATTTAACAAAATCATTAAAAAATTCTACAAGATTTCATCTTGTGTACAATTTACTCATGTTCTCATATGGTATCCTATCCAAAATTTCACCCTTAGATTTCCCTGAAATAACCTTAAGCCGAACACAAAACTTATTAGTGTTAATGTCTACCAACTCAGCTACTGACCCTTTATGAGGTCCTTTCAAAATTTTAACTTGTCTACCTATATTTGGAATTACTGTTTCCAAATGATCTTGATCTAGCTTTAATTTAACTTCTGTATCAATCATCTTCACTAAAGCACCATACTTATCCAAGACTTTAGTAACATAACCTTTCTTCCCGTAATACTTTTCACCTAAAGATTTAACTACAACTTTGACAACAATGTCCTCACTCAGCCATCCATCTTCATTATCTTGTGCCTTCCTGATTGGTTTCACCTCTTCTTCTTTTTCTCGCTTCCTTTCTTCTGCTTTCTTTTCTTCTATTCTGGCCTTCTTTCGTCTCTCTTTTTCCTCAAGTTCTAGTTTTTCTAGCGCTGACAGGGTTCTTTTTGGAGCAGGAGGCTCCATTGTTTTTTTTGTGACCAACTTAAGCGTTAACTTCTCATCTGCGTTCTCCCTGACTAATTCTGAAGGCGCACTGACACTCCTGGACGAGCTGGACTGCTGTCCTAGTTTGACTTGGCGCTCGAAGAATTCTTGCATCTTTTCTTCATCATCTTTTTCCATTTTAGTTTTCTTTGCCAGTTGATTCTGGAGCTCAATTGTCTCTGGATCTCGCTCGATGTATGAAACAAACCATCCTTTTTCTGTTTCATCAACGACACATTTACCCTCACGACCCAGCCACTTAACAAATTCAGTCAAGGATTCCCACTGAGTTGCATTCATGTGCAGATGATCGCGGTCAGCGATGTAATCTTGATATACCTTGTTTGCATGCACTCGTTTCGTACCAAACTGTCGATGCAAGAGCTCCAGGTAGCCATCAGAGAACTCCTTTGAAAACTCATCGATATACTTGTCTGCGTTATCTGCAAATATGAGTAGCTGCCGCTGATGGGACTCGGAGCTGGTATGGCATTTGAAGCCATTCTCGTCTCGACACTGCTTCTGACACATTTGACAGTACCATCTGAGCTTTTGTAATCCTTTGGCTTTGATTTTATTGGCAATGTATTTTGGGGTTCCGACCTCGTGCTTTCCCATTCTTCCAAGTCAGCTTCTGAAAACAGAAAATTGCAGCAGTCAATGAATTTGTTATGAGCATCTGTGGCAAGAAATGATTTACTTGGGATATTAATTAATCATATAATGAAGGTACAAAAATGGTTGAATAAATGGAAAATATGGTTGAAAAGAATCCGTGAGGATCTTCGATGATGCATAAAAAACTAATTTCGTAAGGACAGGCACATTATTAGGCAAGCAGTAATAATATCCAATTAGATAATTGGTAGGTAGATTATTTTGCTACATACCAAAATATCACATCACAGGAAAACTCAACCTCAATAATACTGACATGAACCTACACTCGTGTAGCAAGTGTGGTGAATCATGACGGAAAATGTAGTCTCAAAATGAGGCTTATTTTGAAAGAAAGGAATCAACTCCTTTTGCTACTTCAGAGATGATGGATCCATTTTGGATCATTATACAGGGTGATCCAAAAGCCTTGCACCACTCCCTTAATCCTTAAGGTTCTTGCCCCTTTTCAGGGTGATCCAATCAAAATTTTGGGGGATCCCAAAAGACGTTTCCTTTGACCTCGGTAGGAGTGCTCACAAAATTTCAAGTCTACCTGAATTTGTTCAAAAGTTATCCAGGTAATACTTAATGCTGGTGGTGCAGGACTTCAAATCACCTTGTATAGGTGCTCAGAAGCTGTTCATGAATCGTAATTCATGGAGCATTACATCTACGTAGATATATCGATCGTTAGATATTATAATTCATCTCTATACGTAAGATTAGCAGAGGTGGACTTGCAAGGCGGAAGAAGAATGGTGGTCGCATTTCGATTTTGGCTGCCATCTTGAAGCATTGTGACGTCAGGAGGGTACGGGTTTTGCCGTGCAATCTGGGGTTGAGCCGGCCTCGGCCAGCCCATGACCCCTATGTACCCGATACCAAGGACGTCCAGAGGGTACGAAATGCGATCACCATTCTTTATCCGCCTTGGTAAACTTGATCTTTACGTAACTTTTATAGAGGAATGCAGACCCCAGTTACGGGCATGTACGACAAGGTAGTGGGGTCAAACAATTGGATTTTCAGCGGATTGTATTTTGTGAAAAGTCCCACAAAAGAGTAAGTCCATTACTTCCTCATTTTCTCCCATATCCGGCCAGATTTCCCTGTCCTTTGACTTGCACCAGATAAAATGGTATCATGTATTAAATTCGATAAAACAATAAGATGCAGAAGGGCTGATTTACTGTTAGGAGACATACAAGACATGATCCTAAAGTGAGAGTCTTTATTTATCGAAAATTATATGATGAGTATTAAATACATAATAAATACATATCAATGATTAATTACAATGATCTCGGAGAAGACCAGCGTCAGGAGAACTTGAGCATTGATAGATTTAGAGGACTAACAGGAATGGATGGCTTACCAAACTATTCAACCTTTTGTATCCTAATGCTGCAAAATCAAGAAAAAGTGTCAGAAAATGTTTGCAATTGGAATCAACTCATAATAAGTTTAAAAACCACGAAAAGAAACTTCAGAAACAGGGACGAGTCCCTGTCAGAAAATTAGAAACGACTGATAACGATGTTTGTAAACAATGTAACATAACCTTTAAAGCTCATCGATGCGCCCCCGAAAAATCATCGATGACAAAAAATTTTTGCGGGAAAAGTGTAAACAAACCACCTGTGCTTTTTGCAGCTTTTTGTCTCGTTCTTCATGAGCTTTCTTAGTTTTCCTCTCTATCCACCGAAAATCGTGTGTGCTGAAAGTTCAAACAAATTTTCAGTCTTTATTCCTCTTATCAAAGCCAATAATAACTACTTGAAGTGTGTTGAATTTCGATACTATCCTCACTCTTTTTATCACCCAATCTTTAAGAAGCCTTGAATCGAGATAAGATGGAGAAAACATTCACCGTCAAATCTGTCGATGAAATCAAACCCATTTTTCGAGACAATGATAACACCAAGAATATCTTCCTGATGTCCAGCATTCCGTTTTGTTGCAAAACCGAACCATGCATCTTAGGCATCGATGAAGCTGGAAGAGGGCCCGTTCTGGGTAAGCATGATAATTCGTCACAGTATACCAAGATCTCACAATTCATCTTACTTTCTAGGAGGACGTCAGCAACATCCTCTGTAATTTACTGCTGTCCAAATTAAGACCTCACTACAGCTGAGATGATCATTAATTGAGGGGCTCGGAGGACGAGGCGCATAAGTCTGGTTTTTGCTATTTCGAGAAATATACGTTTGAAGTTTTGAAATCACATGGAGCCTCATGGCAGAAAGATAGTTCAAACTGACTTTCTAGTGCTTAAAAATAGAGTTTGGGAGCAAATTTTTCACAGAATATGCATGGAGCCTAGTTTCGCTTGAAATCATTGATATCTCAATTTTTTCAAAAACTGCACTTATGCGCCTTGTCCTCCAAGCCCCTCAATTATGGTGCCAGGAGTAGGAAATGCATACTTATCTGTTGAGTTACTTACTGCTGTAACCGGTAAATTTTAAGAGATTTTTTACGTGAACCATATGGACTGGGGTGAACTGCGTTACTTTCTCATCTTGGACCAGCCCAGGGCTGGATTTACCTATAGGGCATTGGGGCACATGCCCATAGCGGCAAATTTTGGCGATGGGCTAATTTTGGCACTGGGTTAATTGAAAGTTAAAGCGAGAAAAAAGAAAAAAATGGAAACAGAGACGGAGCAAAGTGAAAAGATGAGCGGCAAAATGTATGAAGGAAGGGAGTTGACGGGAGCGGCAAAGTCGTCGCCCTCTAGGTCCGGCCTCGAGCGCTAAGATTATCGTTCGTTGGAGTGATCCCAAGGGAAACTAAACAGCACGGCAATTTTTAACATCGAGGCAGACTTGACAATCAATTTAGACGTCGATGCTCTGGTTGACAGCTTTGCTAGACTGAAAACCCGGAGAAAAACTTTTTAACCTAATCTTCCGAAAATACATTGTAAGTAATACATTGAGCTACACTAGCTTCAACTTTGTCTCCACATTGTATTTTTGCGTCATCCATCCATTCCATTTCATATATTCGTGGCGCATTTTGAAACAGCTACGCGCACGCGCCCATGCGGCGCACGAGGGGGGGGCAAGATGAGACTGATGGCGTGGGAAGTTGAGAGTGCGGGGAGGGGGAATACTGTTGACAATGTAGTGGCGAAATATTGTAGACCCAGGGGCGGCAAAATGTAGCTTGCCTAGGGGCGGCAAAATGTAGCTTGCCCAGGGGCGGCAAAAAGCTAAATCCGGCCCTGGACCAGCCCACTCCAACTATTCCATTAGAAAGCTTGGATCGCTCCTTTAAGGTGGTTGTCCACCTCGGTGGTGGTTAAGTGCAACTCTAACCTCGAGGGTGATCCGCTTTGAATGGCAGATAATCCGATTCATCAAGTTCCATGGATTAAAACAGTCCTTAAATTTCACTTTGTTAAGCTCAACCACTTCTCACAGGAGTTCTCACAAAAATGATCACCTATCTAAATCAAACCCTCTTCTCTCAAAGTTTTACTTATCTGTTCTCAGGTCCCATGAATTATGGAATCTGTTTCTGCCCTAAAAGCAAAGAGGAAGTCTTGAAAACACTTGGTTGTGCTGATTCTAAAAGTCTCACAGATGAAAAGCGGCAGGTTATTCTTGGAAAAATGTGTGAAGAAACAGAAACTCTCGGTTGGATGGTGGAAGCCATTTCCCCTAATAATATCTGTCGAAACATGTTCCGAAGGTTTGTATGGTCTCTTCTTTTTTCAACTTGATCAGTGCATTAATAGAACGATGTTCTCAAATTTTGCCATGTTTCTTTTACCTTGGATTTTAAATTGACATCCTCCTAAGGTGCCAAAATTGTTGAGCAAGTCTGTTGAAAAAATATCATCAATAAATAATTAATGGGTGGACTACAGTTGAGGAAGGAAATTCTTGCCCAGTAAAAAATGATTCGTCACACATCTTGGACACAGGCAATTTTATGACAAGATAAAGTATCTTTTTACAAGTTTATGTGTCCTAATGTTTCCTGCTCAAATTATGTGGACCAATTTGGGATATTCACCTGGCATCATGGGCATGACGTTTAGTGTCTTCCTCTTAGTCTCTTGCTTTTTTGCTTTTGGCGATGCAATTAGGCTCCTTGATTCTCAGGGCGATCAGGATGATGCACGGCTCTCCTAATGGGCACTATCCATAGAGATTAAGCATAACTTTAATTTCACTTCTTATTGAGATTTCGATAGTCTTAAAGATGGTATCTGAGGTAGTAAATAGTACTCTGAATTTTAATTTCACAAGACAGCTTCAACTCAAATAAGCAGGGGCGCAGAATCTTCCAAACCCTCCTCCATTTTCAACCAAAATTTACAGTTGCTTCTTTCTGAGGAAGTAAATAGAAAAGAAAACCTTTGCCCAAAAAATCGCACTTATTCACCGCTAGTATGTCATATTTTGCACAAAATATTCCTATTTTGTCCAATTTTTGTGGAGATTTTCCTGTTTTTTCCCCATTCTTGCAGGGGTTTGCCCATTTTACAGGACTGGCACAAGACTGGACTGTTGGCATGGTCGGGAATTTTCTGCACCCCTTCAAATACATTCTCAACTGAGAATTGTTGGGAAAATTTAGTAAACAATAAATTAATTTTCAAAAACTTCGAATATTTTTTATCGAATGTCCATTAGCGAAGTTCTTTTTTTTACACAAGTTTCTTACTTTTTTGCAGACAAAAGTATTCCTTAAATCAAGTGTCTCACGACTCGGCTATTGGTTTGATCAAAAAAGCACAAGCAAATGGTGTAAATGTGTGTGAAGTCTTTGTCGACACTGTTGGTCCACCGGAAAAGTATCAGGTAAGTTGATTTTTCTATGCAAAGATGTGACCCATGTTGTAAACACAGTCTGCACTCATAGTAAATCATCAGAACGAAACTGCTTTGAAAAATAGAATAATGAAAGCCTATAAATCTTGAGAAGGAATGGTAAAATGTTTCATGTAACACTTGAGGTAATTATCAATTTTAGAGCACATGCCAAGTAAGTGTATGCACTTCTCAAGTGAAAAAAGATCAGCACATGCGTTGTTTTCCAAATAAGCCAGAAACGATAGTTTCTTTTCTCGATGCAAAATCAAGCAATAGTTCTATCAATTTTTTTTCATGTTCAAAAATTTAATTCATTACCTAGGAAGTCAAGCACATATTTTATTCTTGTATGTACCCTTTCCGGTTGCAGGAAAAATTATCCTGGTTATTTCCAGAGCTAAAAATAACGGTATCGAAAAAAGCTGATTCGCTCTATCCAATTGTCAGTGCAGCCAGTATAGCTGCTAAGGTCACTAGAGATTTTGCCATTGAAGTTTGGAATTTCACAGAAGAACTATCATCAGAAAAAAAGTACGGCAGTGGATATCCAAATGGTAATTATTTTAAATTTTAATCAATTATGCTCAGTTCCTTTTTTTTTTGACATCAAGATTCTTAAAAGCCTATTGAAATGTAACACCTGTTTCCTTCCGTGAGCCAACCATGAAAGTGGTGTAATAGTATTCATACATCATCTTACCAAGCAGTTTTACATCCATCAACAGCCTGATCGTTAAAACTTTATCTGGACAAGAAAGACCTAAATTAATGAAAGCAGAGTGTGTCTATTCAAAAACTGAAGGAAATTAAAACCAAAAAAAGTGAGAAAGTGTCAATGAGAGGAATTGTTGCCCCGCAAGTTTGGCACTTTTCTGTCATGTACCAATAATTTGCCTTTTTGGCATGCGCTTTCAAGTTATTACATTGCCCAAAGAAGAAGTCTCTTGAAATTGTCTTGCTGAATAAAGGTGTGAAATGTGTTTTCAAGAACATGAAACAAATTTGCATATCTTCTCCGTATGCTGTTTCCAAATGGATTTTTATTGTTGAGTGAACTTTTATTTATGACGGAGTTAAGTTGATAATAAACTAAATGAAATTTGTGTCCAATTAACAATTAACTTGATTCAATGTAGTTTAACTAAATTGGGATGAAAATGGAAAGAATTGACTTGTGTTAGAGCCTATTTGACTGATCGGGAGTAAAATTTTTGCTGACACCCAACCTCTTTCGTTCCATCCTTAACCCTGGAAGGCTTTAATTAATTTTGGATCTTGGATCCTGGGGGATAACACAATTTTTTATTTTTTGTAAAAATGTAAAGTCCTAAATTTTTGTCTTAAAATTTCTAATTTTTGGTAGCAATCATTTTTCTAAAAAGAAAATCACTGTTGTAAATTTACAAAATCACACCGCAGAAGAAAGATTTAATTTTTTAAAAACCCCAAAAATGGGTTGTTGTGAAGAAATGACACCATGCTACAGAGAGTTAACTTTATCTTCTTGCTGCTCTTTAACTTTTTTTTCCTCTTTTCCCCAATATAAAACATTTCTCTCACCTTTCTTGTCTTGTTTCTTCGCAGATCCTGAAACAAAAAAATTTCTACAGACAAACATTGACCCAGTTTTTGGCTTTCCTAAACTAGTTCGGTTCAGCTGGTCCACAGCAGAAAAAATTCTAGTTTCCAGTGCAGTCCCAGTTCAATGGTAAAACATTGTTTTTGATATCACATTATTCAATTATTTCATTGTTTTTTTATTTGTATAGGATCAAAATCATTATTAGCTTCTTAGAATCCTATTTGAGTGGCTATTACAACCAAGTTTCACATAGAATTTGCATCTTTGGTGGCTAATATTACCGTTAAATTAAAATAGTTGGCATTGTCAAAGTAAAGTGCATCAGTTTCAAGAACTCCTGAGGTGTGTTTTGATTGTCAAATTTCAACGATTACCAAAAACTACCTATCAAGTCATCAAATCCTTATATTCAATTGCAGAAAATGTATCATGCTTTAGAAAATGTGGTGAAGTATGTCATTTGACATGGTTGCTCAAATCTTATCTTTCCAAACAGTGATCAAAGTATATTTGTGTTGATGTTAGACTATTGAAAGATGTAACATCACAAATTCAGCTGAAAACACTAATTACTGGTTAATTTTTTTGTTTTCTGGACGCATCCCGGGCCAAGCTAATGGCCATCTTTGATGATTCTCTCAACAACTGTAAGATAGTTATCTTTTAACTTCGACACTAAAAATTCTTCTTTTAGCATCATCAACAAATTTAGAATTTTTTCTTGATTCATCCCCTTTTTTCACTAATCTCCTAAAAAATTTCAGGGAAGAGGAAGAGGACGAGGCGAGTGGAAAACCGCTGAAGAACAAGTCAATCACCTCATTTTTCTCTCCAGGAGCCAAGAAGGCGAAACGATCCAGACACGCCTTCTTCCAGCAGAGCAAACTATCAGTAACCGATTGCTTCAAAATTTCCTGAGCCTTTTTTATTTAGCTTTACATTTTTGTGGTATTCATTATTTGTGACTCTTAAATTTTACCATCTAAGACTCAATGAAATATTATTGATCACAAAATAAATCAAACTGTACATATTTTTTAATAAACAATGATATTTATGTTTGACAGGTAATTAGGAACCAAACTGAAATAGGTTAAGGAATTCATAGTTCATTTTTTAATTGAACCGTCTACAGTCAGAAATTGTCTAACACAGTGAGGCAAGCGGTGGGGTTTAGATAATTGTAACTTTAGCTTGGCTGTGATCACTGAGCTAATAAATATTTTATTGGGTTTGAGCTCTATCCCGAGAAAATCAGGATGGCGAGAACTGCAGTTGTTTGTCAGTATTGTACGCACTGATTTACTTTAGTATCAATGCTGTGATTTTTTTTTCATCCGTTAAAAATCAATCTATTTTTTGTGATAATAAAGATCTTTCTAAAATCTTATGTTTCCCACTAATTATTTTACACAGTTTTAAGATGGGTGACTATTCATTTTGTTGCTAATGAGTTCGCTTATCTTTTAATTCTCCAGTGAGATTATGACCATTTTCGCCTCCATTTTCTTTGGACGACTAGGTCAAGGAAGTATATCCCATACGATTTCATTAGCAGATCGATTGTCATATTTTGCACTGAACCAACCTAAGAGAGCTCAATATTTTTCCTGTTGTTTCATTTGTAAGGGGTTTGATTAAGTTTTATTTATGTTTTAAGGTCAAGCATCTGGAAGTTAGATGAGGCAATGTATCTCAAATGATACAAGCCTCTGACAAGTGAAAAAGAGAAGTACTATTGATGCAACAACAATGAGCTAAAAGACTGAAATTACCTGTCAATGCTCAGAGTGCAAAACCACACTTTATTCTGGTGTTTAAAAATGTCTGCTATTTTATTTTTCTCAAGATCTATGAGCATGCCAACTTCAAAGCTTGAAAGCACAGAATGTTCTGTTATCTAAGAAAAAAAGTCGTGGAAGTCTTTCAAGAAGTTATGTTGACAAGTTTTTCAAAGAGAGAATTAAGTATGTCAGGAAGTCTGCTATGTCGTTGACAGAAATATGCGGTTTCGCACTTCAGCCATCGTCGCAGTCCCGTGTGGGCTATTCATAATTTAGACTGATTTTAGGTGGTAGCTAACAACGGAGCTTTCCCGAATTTAGCATACCTCTTTCATTTACTAAAGGCTTCCATTAGAAGTATATGATTTTAATTTCCTCTAAAAAACAATAACCTGAAGGGCTGAAGGATTCATCTAACTGGTAACTTAAAAGATTATGATGAATTCCAAAATTCTTTAGAATTCTAAAGATTCCTAAGAACCGAACACCCTCCACCCCTTTCGCCTGAGAAAAAAGCTACTTGGAGTGACGAAAGCAAGCTCTTAGAAGTCAATTTTCCAGACTTCAGGATCAAGATTCCATAGGACACTGGAAGACATCAATATTAGCCCCTTCCAATTAATGGCTTACGACAACCTTGTTAATTTTTAAGACTTTGACTGAAAGTATTGCTCCACATCCAAAATTCAAGAGAAACAGCTCGCCAAATAATGCTTCAGATAAGACTTACAATGGACCACTAGACAAGGTACGAATTTAAGCAATCTGATACATGTTTCTTTACCAGAATTTCACGTAGAACACGATTCGTGCAACGAAAATTACTGAAACCAACTCCTTACAAAGATATTAACGTTTTTATTTCACATTGGTTACGAGGAATTTGAACTGTCCGCTCACAAGAAACTCAAAGCTCTACTTGAGTCAAATCGCGCACTACAACAGTTTCAGCAAGCTTCTCAATCGAGCATTGTTCATTTCCCACCATGTGTTGTTCAAACTATTAGCAATTTGCTATAACTGAGCCAAAGCGTCAAGATTGAGGTTGCCAGATTTTTAGATCGCAGAGACTGTCATAATAACGTTCAGCGCGTGATGTGAATCACGTAGAGCATTGAGTTTTCATGAGCGGGTGGTTTGAATTCACGCATCAAGAATAATTAAATATCTTCGTAAGGAGTTAATTTCAGTAATTTTCGTTGTGTGCACCGTGTTTTACGTAAAATTTTGGTTAAGAAACATGTATCAGAATGCTGAAATTCGTACCTTATCTAGTGGTCCATTAGCCTTGAGGCTTAACAATATGAGAATGGCAATAATGACAAACAGATTACTTCTTAAAAACGTTCCCAAGCACCGAGGGAATTTTTCCATTTCCCTAATACTGTTTATTCTAACTTAACCCATTGCAATGCTACACAAGGTGGGTTAGCGAGCACTAGCAAAAAAGTTGCTTGCCTGCTTAATAAATACGAAAGAATCAACCCACAACTTGTAAATTCGTTATAAGTTGGCGACATCAGCAGTTGTTTTGCATCCATTAATTTGGCAGAAATGGATAACATTTGACAACAAAAAGGAACCAGCATGATTGCAGTGTTGTAAAAATGTTGCTTCATCATAATTATTTGGAATCTCTTAGAATAGCAAACAATTCTTCTTCCGGTAGCAAAAATTGTTAACTTTGAAGGGAAATAACTGTGTAAATTTTGAGCATAAAGTAGGTATTTTTAAAATAAAAGAAGAATATAGAAAACACTGTAATTGCGCTGGTTCCTTTTTGCAAAATGCTGTCCATATAGAGAGCACAACTGAGGTACCTAGGGTACCAGGGTAACTTGGTGAGAGGCTCTGTGTGCTGGACGGGTGTTATGCTTAGGCATGAAAATAAGTTAAGTTCTCTTGCTGTTCACACTTTACATGCCGATAAAAATAATCATACTTGGTGAAAGAGGAATTTGAGCATGGTAGAGGGAAAACAGGTACGAGCATAGAACAGGCTCGCTTCTGATTGGTTTGTCTGCCATATTCATCACAGATCTGTACGAAAGGCTTGTGCACAGCTCTGTTAATGTGTGCGTTTGAAATTGAGGATCCATTTCATAGTTGGTGTGCATAAGCTCGGTCAGTGGTGAGAGGAGGTCAGATTGGTACATCACAGCTCATGGACTTATCATCCCGAATTGCTTTGCTGCGGCTACTATATGCCTATACCTGTTTTCTTCTATTATGAATCAGAGGACAGTATTAAAAATAAGACAAAAGAAGATTGGTTTTTTGGGTTTTATTTTAAAAACGTAAACAAAACTATGAGGTTTCCATGACAGTGGACTCTTCTGTGTACTTTCCTTTGTCCTTTTGGAGAGCGGCCTTGGCAGCTGCTCGGCCCTTTGCGCGCCTCTCCAAAATTTTCTTCCTGTCCTTGTCCATTTTTAATTTTACAATAACGACCTAAACAGAGAGAAAATGTCTTACACACTGAAAAGAACTAGGAATGATGAGAGCATGCAAAAAGTAAGAGGTCAAGTCTCATGTTTAACTGAAAGAAAAAAAGGGGCAGGTATGACACCTTCGTTTCTTGAGGTTAAGGAAAGTATGATTAGAAAATTAGAATTTGAGTCATAAAAAAACAACGCTTTTCTTCATCCCATAGTGGTGCAAAAACTTCGCCACCAGTGTTACTAGCAACTTGTGATGGAGGAAGTTAAAAGGCCCAAAATGAAAAGAACAGCTAGCAACATTAAAATCTAGTGTTCTCTACAAAGCCACTGAGAAAATTTTTCAGGATCTTTGGAAAAGAAAAAAAAGAATGAAACAAGTTAAAACTTTTGGAGCTAAACATGTTGAAAAAAAAAAGAGGTCCTAAAGAAGACTTCTTACATCCCTGTAACCCAAAGAATAAATTGAGGGTGGCGATAGCGTATAATTTTAGCAAACATCCACTCTTAAATTGAAATATCACAACCTGATGCCTGTTTTACATTTTCATAGAAACACACACTTTTAAAGAATGAAATAACATTTCAGAGAGTGCATTGTGTTGATCTTTTGGGCACGTGCCCATTGGGTAAAAGGCAAAGAAATGGATGAAGAAGTTTAAAATGATCAATTCTTACATTAGAAGGATGGATTCCAACATAAACTGTTGCGCCGTTGGCTTTTTCTCTTTGAACTCGTTCAATGTTGATAATGAACTTTTTCCTGTAGACTTGTGTGACCTTGCCAACTTGTTGTCCACGGTAGTGCCCTCTTACAACCTGAAAAAAATTAGTAATTTGGATATGGGCATTTTTTCGAGTTTCATTTGATGTTACAGAGAAAAGTTCAAAGCCTCTGAGAATGATGTGAAGAACTGTATTTTAATCTGAGACCACCTAATTTTGAAGCTGAGATGACACGAAGGTTCCAAAATGAACAGGAAAATCTCTATTCATACACTTTTGCCCACTTAATTAAGACTAAGAAAACCAAATTTCCTGGGGAAAGGGAGTTTCCTACTTGGTCTTTTAGTTTCAGCATACCAGTTCTTCATATTAAATGTTACAAGTAGGCTATTCCTTGGAAATTTTGCAATTCCGCTTCAGGACAATTTTTAAAAGTGTTTTCTAACGATTTAGATAAGAGCAGTTGATAAATATACATAGAAGAAAATGGAATGCTAGATTATCAAATAGGACTTCAGACGTAGCCTACAATGCTGCATTCAACTTTCTGTACAATGAACGCCCATTCAACCTCAAAATAAAGGTTTGAAAGCAATGATCTCATCTCAGGAGAAAGGTAGCGTACCCTTCTCCCATTAAGAGGCAGAATATTTAACACATGATCTACGATCATAGAAAAATTGAGAAAATCCAAAAGGAAGGCTATTGGAAACATAATCAGAAACTAAAATGGATGAAAGAATCATCTCAGAAAAGAGAGAATCGTCTGAGGATGCAAGATCGGAGCCCAGCCTTCAGCTTTCAGAGAACCGTCGAGCTTCTTGCTGATCTGACGATGCAAGCACCCATCAGAGAATGGAATCTGTTATCATCATATGAAAACTTCTTTCAGATAGAGATGGAAATGCCAAATGAATCTATTGATGATGGTTAAAACGCACTTACAACTGGCTTAGAAAAGAGATTCAAATGACTTGGACTTTCGTTTTTCATGATTCTAGAAATAACAGAGAGCTATGCTCAACAGAGTTGTAATGCTGGTTTATAATGAAAACAGACTGAGGTGAAGGAAAATCGCAGAATTTTCACCCGCTGCTTGGACCCTGCTAGGCTTTAGGAACCAGTTACACTGGGACCTAGTTTCCCATTAAGAGGGGCTCTATTTTAATCCGACACCCTCAAATGTTTGCACAGAACACTGCATCTACAGTTGTACAGTAATGTGTCATCATTTCCTAAATGTACTCAGTGTCTGGCTTTTCAATGACTTTCTCATTATGCAGAATCAAAGGCAACCCATGCTGGAAGTGAAACGCTCTGTTTCCCTATTATTGAGGCCGAAGGATTTAATTCAGAAATGTCAGCACCAAACTTTCGTCTTACGATGATCTGCCTAACAAGTGTATTAACCCACGACAAGAGAACCTTGCCGAGAGCAAAGAACACCTGCAACAAGACCATCATCAGAGAATGGAATCTGGTATCATCATTCATTTCACAAGGAAAAATGACGATCGAAGCAGACCAAACACAGAACCAAAAACAGATGGACAGTATTTTGAAGGGTTAAAGTGATAGAGCTAAAGTCTCTTATTATGCATGGAATGCAAAGGATCGAGTTATCTGCAGTACGGCTAGAGATTAGGATTGCATGTGATTGCTTGCTGACCTCCTCCAGAAAGCGGTCCAAACATTTCATTAGAACGCATAGAATAGGCTGCACCGCAGCAGTGAACCAGGATAAAAAAGTCACGCAGTTTATCAAGATGCTCTGCGGTTCGGATAAAAAAGCTCTCTTTAAAATTTTGAGAAGATCTGACTGACATCAGCAAGAAATCATCGTCAAAGATAATCTTGTGGGCAAGTGCTCTTAATCTTAGCGAGAGAACCTCACCAGGATCAAAAACACAAGCAACCAAGAGTATCATCTGAGAATGGAATCTGTTAACATCATTTGTAAAGTCATACCATAAACAACAGGGGTTCTTTGAATCTCTTCTTTTTGTGCTTACATTACAGTTCCTTTGGTTATTACTTGGCAACACACACTACTCAATTTATTCTTTCGATGTGTGAGGCAGTTATTTCTGTTTGTGTAAGTTTTTAGTATAGAACTGATAAATTATCGAGAAACTGTAAGCTCAGAAACATAAGACTACCTTCAAAGAAAGCAAAATTACCCTGCACCCTAACTAAATAAATAAATTCGGACTTTCATGACTAGAGGGTGCCGAAAGTCCAGTATTTCCAGGAGATTTCCCTTGGAGTCTCTGTTCTACCATTCAAAATAAGTCCCTGGCATTTTTCAGAACACTGGGTAGGAACCCTATGCATACAAGTAGAGCTTGACAAGATAACTTACCTGAACTTCATCATCCTTCCTGACGGGCATTCGCCTAACATTGTACTTCTGCCTAAGTTCTTTAGAGAGGGGTGCGGACATAAGCTTCCTCCTGATGTGGGAGGGAGCTGTGAAGTGGTCCTTCCTGTTTTTCCTCCGGGAGGATGTCTTGTATGGATTGATCTTCATCTTGTATCGTACCTGAAAATTAAAGAAACCCAATGAATAAGCAAAAACACCAGGACTGTGCAGATTTCAATGAAGGTTGGATCATGCTCAATTTGTGGGGTAACTGGAGGTCGCTGAATCCACTATTTTTAGAGGGGCGGTAGTCAAATCATCATGATATTGCTGATCATGCACTTTTGGACTGAATTTATGTGTGCACATCTATTGTGTAGAAATGGCGGTAGTCCAATGGATAGACAAGCCTAACTTGACTGACTTTCTCTTCTGGAACTTATGAGCAATTTTTTAATAATCCTGAAAAAGTCGGTTTTTCGACTTCCGCCCATTTGAAAATAGTGGATTCACTTAATGTAATTGCTGACAACACATTTCCCGTTCATCTTGGCATAGTAAGCGCAGGGAAAAATCAAGATGGCATCTCTATTCACCCGACACAAAAGCCATTCGTATAGGGGCAAAACCTCTTCGATGACAAATGGAGCTCGCTCGTCTGTAGTTGAGAGGGAGGTCAAGAATTTTCAGTGTCACTTATTGGTTAGCTAATAGTAAGTTCTTCCCTGCTAATTGGTGTTGTTCTGGAGCTGTTCGAGATCAGTGTATTTATCGCAACATGGCATATAAGCTGAAGTCTACCTGCGGCGAAGAATTACGTGGCCTACTTAAACAATTATCCAATGCTCATGAGAAGTTCAACAAACTAGTCATTCTGAATCCCATGGTCCAGTCTAGAGTAAGAGTCAGAACAAGTATCTCTTGGACGGAATTGGAATTTCCTACATTGATCATGACAACTCATCTTTCCGGGCTTGCTTCTCATGGTATCAAAAGAGCAAGTTCAACTTAAATCAAAATGAGCAGAAAACGAGAAAACCTGGCAGTTGCGTGTCCTGAATCAATGAGGAGATGGATCGGCTTGGCTTACCGGGAAAGACTTAAATAGTTATTCGAATTACGGCTGTCTTCAGTGAGGCAGAATGGCTAACCTCAAACCAGAAGCAACAATAACACACACTGTACGAAGACAATCACGTATTAAAACACTGCAATTGATATCATAAGTTGCAGAGTGGAACATGCGTTTTCTGATAGAATTGCGAAAAATGATTTTGAACCTCTCATGAGCACTTGATGGATAGAAAATATTCACACGGCGGCATCAGGGCCCACACGGCAATACCTGTCACTTGGGGCTGAAATTACGGCTATTATGACAAGAAAATCGGGAGACTTGGTAGACGACGGAAAATAAAGACTAATTGATTGAAAATAACAGAGTAAATAGGGTTTTAAAACTTTGAGGAAGAAGGATTCAAATGGATAAAGAAAGTTTCACATACCCGTCAGTACACTCAATATGACAATGGCGGATCGGATAACGCAAACACACGGAGCACGGAGTGGATAGGCACATCGTTCGCAGCGTTGTGGCGCCCTTTTCAAATTGTCGGGCAAAGTGCGGATAATCATCGAGCTAGCTATTGAGAAGTATTTACACAAACCTGGACCAAAGATGTGTTTCATGAAATTTATTTCCATAAAATTTCATGCGGTCTAAGAGGGCCAAAATTCCGGAAATCGATTGGATTAATTTTTGGCACGGACAAAGGACAAATTACCTGAAACGGGCTATGCACAGATTGTGACTTGCAAGTCGCAAAATGCGAAGGTACCTTTTTTGCAACATTTAAGAGTCTACGAACAAGTTTTATTTTACCAAAAGAAAACTAACGAAAGGCACTATGGCACTATGAACACATGACTTGATGCAAATTGAATTTTTTTCCAAACAAAATGACTTTTACTTTTTACATGATGGCCATTTCGGGCGGGCCGAATCTTCAAGTGACTGAAACTTCTTTAACAGTTTAATACATTTAAGTGCTGTTTTATTAGTAGAGCACTTAAATATTATTACTTATATTCTTCTCTCTTACTCATGATTATTATATATATTCTTACATCTCTTCTTCTCTCTTCTTCTTCTCCTGAAGATGGGCGGCCTGAGATGGCCATCGTGTAAAAAATAAAAGTAAGTCATTTATAATCGGTTTTGGAAAAAATTTCAATTTGCATCAAGTCATGGATTAAAAAACAGTTGGATAAGTGGTCTTGGAGACACACAGGGTGAGGAAGTAAAAGCTTATTCAAAATAAACATTTTATTAACTTAACAACAACAAGAAAGCAGCAACAATACTTAAACAATTATAATTTCTTAAATTGATGTTTTAACGACGAAAGTCTCCATTTACATAATTTCGAGAGGCAAAATATTTTTAATCCCCAATTGATTACCATGGAAAAGCAATAATGGGCTTGGCGCGCCCTAATCTTAACCTTGGATCATAGCGAGGTAGTGCAGGACACTGGAAAAAATGAAACACGAATTACAGTTCTGTTAAGGACAAAGCATAAATGAGAACTACAGATCAAACGAGAATTACGGTCATTTTGTAAACAACAGCTAGTGCTTTAGTTGGAATATAAGGCCAATAGAACATCAGGAGCATTTGCTTTTAGTGAGTGCAGCTATTTCTTTGAATGATTTTTCATATCGATGCTAAAACTGCAGTAATGAGTATCTCAATTTGCAGCAGCGCAGATTTTCCAGCATACTTTATTTTCTTCATGGAAAAGTACAAAATGTCATTTTTTTAAAACTTCAGTGATTTTTCTTCACAATGTAAAAAATATTCTGCACAAATTTTGAGCCGTGATGTGGCTTTGGTTTCCTTTTGTAAAATAAAATAGGAGCGAAGATTTTGAAACACTGCAATGGAAGTATGCATTTTTCCAGTTTCACTGTCAATATGTTGCTGCTCACAAAAAAAAAAGGGACCTTATTTTCTTTCTCAAGTTTGGAAAAACTCGTATCTTATACATGAATACCACAGGATTGCCCCAAAAATGAGCAAATAATATTGCCTGACAAATTTTTGTGAAATTCCCTGAAATTTGACAATACACTGAGTGGTCAGAGAGCGCCATTTCCAAACCCAAACGCTTAACATTTCATGTTTACAGCGTAAAACATATTCTAAAAAGCAAAAAAAGACGGTTTGAACAATTTTTTTGGATACTTCCGTTATTTCTTTGACACTTCCCAGTTTTCATTGAATTTTTAAAATTCCCTGACATTTCCTCGTTATATCTGACTGTGACAACCCTAGTTATACTGCAGAGGAGTTGGCACAGACCGTTTTGATACAATCTTCATTTCTCTTAACGTGAAAACGAGTAAAATAGAGAAACAAAAGAAGAAACTTAAGGTCTTCCTCATAAAATTACCTACTTTCCCTGCAATTTTTGGGTGTCCTTTTCCCCTGCAGTACACATATTTTAATCATCATAGCACAGGTATTCAAAATGACCCGCTAAGAGCCTCCGACTCACTTATAGTAATTAAATGTGCCAGTGCATTTAGAGAGGCATCTGCTCATCTTCGGCGGGCACCTAATTTTTACAAATTTTTCTAGTCATGACTTTTCTCTCCAGATTTTTCTAAGTTTCTCAACCTGATGGACACCCTGACATCGATCATGCTCTTGTTTCAATGTGAGAAAACATGGAAAAATGTTACTCACCTGGTGCTGATCCCGAACACGAATAGCTTCATCCATTTTTGAATCCAGAATAGCTCGTCGGTTTTCATGACTTGGGTGAGTCGACATCCACTCTTCAATTTTTGGCGCTCCTGGTAGACTTTTGTCATGCATTTGCATTTGTGCCCAGAACGCACTGGCTTCTCGCACGTCAAAACAAGCCTGTGAAAAGGTGAGAAGCTCTAAATTATAAAAGGATAATGGTACCTTGGTCGATTGACCCTGGCAACACAGGATCAGAAAGTATTAGACTGCTTCCCAGTTGGAAATTAATCACCCTAATGTCTGTCCAATATTAGTATGATGTTAATCTGATAAGAGAAAGTTGTCATTGTTACCAATGTGAAGGCAGAGTGCTGACTTAACATCATACTGATAGGAATTGCTGTGTGAGACAAAGTCAGTCTAAACAGTCTAATGTTGGACCAACTCACTCCTACTAGGCAGAGGAACTACTTTTTTTGCAAGAGAGTTCAATCCTTATCATCGTATCTTGAAAAATACTCATTCTCTCAAATTTGAGGAGGATTGCATACCTACGCAAAAGATTGCATGATTTTCAACCACTCTGCATACTGTAAAATTTTAGGGAATTTTACAATAATTTGTAAGGAATATCATTTCCTCATTTTTGTGGCATTCCTGTAGTATTAATATCTAAGATACAAGTCTTTCGAAACTTGAGAGAAAAAATAAGGGTTCAATTAGGTGAACAGTCAAATATTGGCAGTGAAACTGTAAACATACATATCTCGATTTCAGTGTTGGTTTGGTCTTCATGTAAAAAACAAAATAGGAGCAAAGATTTTAAAACATTTAAACAGGTGTTTTAAAATCTTTACTCCTATTTTGTTTTTTAACAAGAAGACCAAACCAACATCATAGCCTGAAATTTTTGCAGAATATTTTTCTTGTAGAGAGGAAAAATGATTAAAGGTTTCAAGAAATGCCATTCAGTAGTTTTTTATATAAAAAATAAAGTACGAGGAGAAATTTACAACGCTGCAAACTGAAATTCACCTTCCAGTAGTTTCACCTCAAGGTATACTACTACAGCAAGGACTTAGTTTTATACAGACAAGTCGCCCCAGTTTCACAACTTCATAGGAAACTCAAGATGGCCGCAGTCATGGGACACAGTTTTTCAATTAAAAGCAAAAAACTCCATTTATCCAATTTACTTTCTTGCTTTTTAAGTCAAGTTCAAGATTATTGAAGTGCTTTGGTTGTTATTTTTTATTTGAAGAACTTAGGCACATGATAGCGGTCACTTTGAGTCTTGCAAGGGAGCTGAGAAACTGAGGTGGCACAACTGCTTCAAATTGTGTCTTTGCTGTGGTATATTTTTTGAAGTAAGAAGCTCAAAAATGCATTGATTTTTTAGGTCCATTTCTATTACAACTAGATTTTCAGACAAAAGTTTGCAAGGATCCAGTTTAGGACAAACCTTTGCTGCCAGCATCAAACCAACAGTGTCAGCTTCAATCTCTAGTTTGCGATTGAAAGGCAACTGGAAACGGAGACTTTGCCAATACTCTGCGATGCCATGTGCTAACGCAGCGAGTGTGGAGGGCAGGAGTGCCCAGATGAAAACGATCGGTATTAAGAGAAGCAAGTCCAAAACGTGCATTTGACTAAGAAGTTCGGTCTAGAAAAACAGGAAACAAAATGAACATTACTCTGTAATTATTTATAGTCCCAATTGAAAAAAAAAACATGATGAGATTTAATTAATAAGACCCGCTATAAAAATCTGGCTAAAATACAAAAAAAAGATCATCCAAGTTTTCCAAAAATGAGAATTGATCTGAAATGAATAGGAAAAATTCCTACCTTAATTATTAGAGATTTCATAAATAATAGCCTGCTTGTAAAACAAATATTACAGTCATATTGTATTTGTTTTTAAGGGAAACTGACCGACAGTTCTTGATGAAATTTTCGGTAAATTTTCTGCACTCTTGTTAAAAAAAAAAAAACAAAAAACAAAAAAAAAACAAAAAAAAAACCAAACCCAAAATTGCAGGGAAATATTTTGATCAGTTGTCCTTGAATAAAACAAACCATAACCTGAGACTCTTTTGCAATGCAATGGATACATGCCTTTTTCGCGTTCAGCCATTAAATAACTTGAGCATTTTTTTACTTTTTTTTGTGCTAGGAAATAGATTTTATCAGATCATTTACTGAGGAGAAATTCACGCAATCTGTAGATTTATGTGAGACAAAAAAAGGGAGAAAACTCACCTTCATCACTTCCAACTAGATCATAACTTTTACCCTATTCAAATGTCTTAACTTGCTGGGCAATCCTTGAAAAATGCATAGACCATACATAGGCTTTTCATTTGGAATGAATCTTTCTCTTTAGGAGAGGCACGGATAAAACTGAAGAGATTAGAATTTAAGACTCTGCTCTGCCTAATTAATAAGTTTCTACCTGAATTTTCACTACTTTTTTTAGAAAAAAAATCATTGATTTTGTAAAGCATTACGAGGAAACTTACGACATGTTTCAATAAACAGTGAGACATTTCGTGGCCAAGAACGATTCCAAGTTGATCATCGTTGAGGCATAAATCAAGCATCCCTGAGAAAATGAAAATGGAACCATTCTGTAAACAGCAGCACAACAAATCTGATTTTTAATAAGTCAATGAATTGTGTTTGTGGCAAAGCACAAATAAAGAACTTTAATTTTAAATAGATATTCAGTGTTTGGGCTTTACTTGCTTAGTAAGCCTTCTATTTTGTTTCTACTCGACTCGCATTTATATCCTTATTTAGGACACGCACCACTATGATTACTTGAGATCACATGTAGATCCAGCAGGTGAACTTGTGGCTCTCAGCAGTCGCATTTTAAACATTATTCTTAATTATGTTTTAATTTTTGGACTCAATGAATCCTTGAAGGATTTGAGAATAGGATAGTTAAAATTGCTAAATTTTTATGAATGTTAAAAAGGGCATGAATTCAATGAGTGAACTTGCCTCCTACTTCCAGAAATGTGATATTTTCAAATTTTAACTAGCTACTATTTTTTTAAGTTTAAAACAACTTTTTACTTGACAAACTAGCATTTACCATAAGCTATAAAAAAAAGAATGCTTTGAAATGATTTAAATTGTGGACATTGCTTAAAATGCGTTTATTAAAAACTGAGAGAAAAAACACAATCATAAATCATAAGAAGCCGAAAAAATAATTAAATTTCTTGAGGAAACTTACAGGCAAAACAAATGCATTAACTTCGTCACTTTTCACAACAGTAACTTCCCATTCATGCTTGCGAACTTCAATTATATCCTTGTTGGCTAGGATCAACCGATGCGCTACTCTCACTACCCTTTTGTAATATGGATGAGTTATCGGTACGATTTCCTTTCCGTAGGCATTAACAAGCTGAAAAAGAACGTCAGAGATAAATTCCTTCAATGAGGATCTTGAAAATCATAACTAACTGCTCGTATGACGAATGGACCACTATCTAAAAGGTACCAAGACAAACATTCTGATGTATGTTTCTGCTTCAAATTTTCATGTAGAATACGATTCGCCCAGCGAAAATTATCAAAACTAACTCTTGAGCAAGATATTAACGATGTTTTTTGGCATTGGTTATGAAAAGTTTGAATTTCCTGTTCACTAAATAAATTAGAGACTATGTGAATCAAATCGAGCACGACAATAGTTTTCGCAGGCTTCTTACTCAAACAGTGTTCCTTCCCTGCTCTGTATTGTTCAAAGTGTAAAGAACATACAGCAGCTGAGCTGAATCGCTGAGATTGCAATCACCGTATTTTCATACCACAGAAGCTATAAAAGTAACTTCAAGTGTGCAATTTAACTCAAGTAGAGGTTTTCTTTCAAGAGCGGGAGGTTTGAGTTCATGCATCAAAAAAGTTTGATATCTTGGTTTACCTTCTTTCAATAATTTCTGTTGCAAAAATCAGATTCTAAGTGAAATTCTGAGAAGAAAACATATATCACATTGCTTAAGATCGCACCTTGTCTAGTAGTCAATTGAATTCGAACTATTAACATTAAATTAAATGTAATAATGACTTGGTATGAGGCTAATAACTCATAAATAGAGCATTTAACACAGATGAAAAAATTAGAAAAAAATCCACCAAATACTAGGCAATAGATAAGCGTACGATAGACGATGATGTACAGGTTATAAGTGCTCAAATTGAAGAATGCAAGATGAACAAGCAAAACTTACTTGCAACATATCAAAGACTATGCAACTTCATACATACGCCAAAAAAAGCCTTCTATTCTCTATTAGAGTATTAAATACGGAATAGGCTACACTAAAGGATGAAAATATCGTAGAGAAAATTCTATGATCTTTTTTTAAATAAATTTTGTTTTGTATTTTTTGCAATTGTAAATCACTCTAATTGCTTTCTAGGACCCATTTTCAAATTTATACTGCTAAATTTCACTCAAGATTGGTAAAAATTATCTTTTCTTTGACACTATTTTGAGGGTCTCCTTAAAACTCCCTTTTTCACGATGTATACCAAGTGGGGCCTCTTGATGGAAGGAGCTGTTTCAGGAACAACTATGAGTGCAACCCCTCACTTTTGAGATAGTGAGAAAATATTAAGAAAAGCCGTGTGGAAGCTTGGCAGATTCTATACATCTGAGAAGAAGTATGAAGTCCTTTATCTTTCAAGCACATACCTGGTCCCTTTCTAGGTTGGCTAACTGCTCAATTTGATTTTCTGAGAACATTATAAAGCGCTTTCTTCCAGTGAGGGGATCCTCTTTCAGATGGGTCACATAGTAGGTAGAGCCAAGACCGCAACTTACAACAGCGCTGAAACCTGCAATGGATAAGTATACACATTGAAAGATCATCTCATACAAGAGGCCAACATGCATCAAAGTATGAGTAGTTCCTTACTTAGATGGTAAATTCTGTCTCTTCTAGGTACATACATAAAGTTCACAGATATTTGGCTGCTTACAATCACTTGTAAGAACGGAGGAATGGACCCCTGGACAAGGTGCCTGTTAAAGGATTTTGATGTATATTTTCTGACCAAAATTTCACTCACAATAAGATTTGTGCAACAAAAATTATTAAAAGTAACTACTTTCCAAAATATTAACTTTTTTTATGCATAAATTCAAATTTTCCACTCATCAAAAAACTATACTGGAGTTAAATTGCACAATGATGTTACTGCAACAATTTCTACAGAACGAAAATATGGTGACCTTAATCTCAGAGCTTCGACTTAGCTGTTGCACTTTGTTTACACTTCGAACAACACACGGAATGAATAAGGCTCGATTAAGAAGCCAGCCAAAACTGCTGTGATTCTTGTAGACTCTGGTCTTTAGTGCGAGTAGGAATTCAAATTTTTTGTAACCAGTGCCGTATAAAAATGTTAATATCATGCTTAAAGAGTTAAAATCAGTAATTTTTGCTGTGGAAAGTAAGCTCTGTGTGAAATTTCGGCAGAGTAACATACATGGGTATGCTTAAATTTGTAGCTTCTCTATGGGCCCATTGAATAAATGGAAAATGTTGTGGAAAAAATTAAAACTAAATAGTGACATTTTTGTGTTGTCTATATAGGGAAAATTTTACAACAATAGGCTGGTGCTACATCAAGGCGAATTTATCCTTATTGAATATTGAAGGGTATGAGAAGGCTCTCACATCTACACCAGGCTGACTTTTGCATGGTCATTAAAGAAATGGGCTGATAAAGCTACCCAGAGAATTCCAAACTTTTGAGGAGCTTTTTCAGGCATGAATTTTTCTTCACTGTTCAATGGTCAATAAAGCACCTGATATTTCTTACCTTACTAATCTGAACAAACTTTTTCATTGGAATTCTTTGAGATCGTTTTTTAAACCTAAATTTCTAAACAAAATGACCCGAGTAAAAGATATTAAAAAAAAAGTAAGTATTACCTGCATACTTAGCATACTTTTTGCTAAAATTCATGATGACAGCTTTCTTTTCAGCAGGCGTCAATTTTGCCCACCATTTTTTCAGGGATCGGCCTAGGAGCATGGCAAAAAGCTTTAGGATAGGACGCAGTATGACTATGATTACCGGCGGGACAGCTTTTCTTGGGTTACTTGTGTGAAAGTTAGCTTGGTTCCGGAGTTGGGAGAACCTTGCAATCAATGATCCCCGACTGTTGTTGACATTGACTAGACTTGCCCATTGAAAACTATACAATCTGTGGCCCCTTGAAATGGTTGTGTAAAGATGCAAAAAAGGTTTTTCAGTAGCATACAATTTCATGGAGGTATTTGTGTTCAAACTATTCCAGTAGTTTTTTTCTAGAGGGCGGTTCTTAAAGGTTGCGACCCATTTCTGCTTGCACAAGATGTTGGAGTGAGCCTTTTGCAGATGGGATTTCAGGAGCATCGTGATTGAATTGAGATTCATCTTTGAAGGATATTTGTTTATTTCTAAATTTTCTTACGTTGAGAGTTCAACTGACCAAATCTGCAACAAAAATCAAGGTAATGAACACTTGTTATAGATTTCCCTCTATCACAAAAGAAAATTTGAGGGTAATTAATTTTTTCAATGTGAAGAGTAAGTTAGCTTGTCTTACAAAGCCACAGACAAGTTGACCTCCTTTTGCTGTAGCATTTTCATATTTTTGCTATAGAGGCCAACCATGTTGAAATAATTTGCCTTGTTGATCGTTAAAATTAAAACAGTTGTTCAACTTTCTCCTGAACATAGAGTCTTATGGAGACATATACCTTCAAACCTCTTTTTCTTGGTTAAGCTTGTACAAGTTTCCGAATTTCGGTTAAACTTGACTCAAATGGTATCATAGGTAATGCCTAAATTATAAGGAGAAAAAGTTTTTTGACAAAATTTTGTTATGGAACCGAGAGAAGATTCAAACCTACAAAATAGTGTAAAAAGTGAATTACTTTCATGATGCTTTTAATCCCTGTGCATGTTAGCAGCGCTCCGTAGATCTGCACAGGACTTTTCCTCCTTTTTTTTATGTACTCTTCTTTTTGTGAGGGTTTTAATGTGTTGCATTTTACATCTGCATTTGCTATAGTTAAACCAAGTCGTAAAAGACTTGGTAAAAATTAATGCTGACACTCTAAATCCTGCTAGAAATGACTACGTTCTCAATTCCAAGGCCTTTCACACATGCTTGGGAGAGGCAGCTTCCTGATTTTACTTCTCTGAGAAATTACCTGCAGACTGCTGGATAGAGCTTGAGCAGTATTTTTATGGATGAATTGAGAGCCCATGAAAGATCTCGTGCAGAAAAACAGCATACTTTTGGTGAGTCTCTCCTGATCTTTTGACTTACGAGCTTGTCTGAAAGTAATAAAATGTAAAGATTACAATGTTTTCAAGACTGAATTACAATGAAAATGAAATAAAGTATATCTATTGACATGGAATACTAGAAAGTCTGACAAGACAGAGATAAGCCTCACCCGAACGGCAAGGTAGGTACGACTTCTCTTCACATTGGACAGTGCTTCTTGATCGAGTCATCGTTCCACCCACGGTAGAAATTGGATTCATTAAAGTTGGGCTCATGAGATTTAAATAGGTATGAAAAAATTGAACTTTGATTTGGTCAGATTTTAGCCTCCAAAAACAAAGGATTCCAGAATTTTTAATAGTTCCGCTTGATCAGCATCGACACCTCAATTTCATCATTAAATCATGGTAAAGCAGCTGAAAACGGCAGGTCCTACATTTGAAACACGGAGGTTGCATTCGCATCGATTTGGGTGAGAAGTAAGAGTAGACTTGGTATTATCCATCAGAAAAATACCAAAGACTCCCGACGCCATGGATCTTGTTCAGTTAGTTGACAAGCTGTCAGGTATACATACAGAATGCAAGATGAATTACAGGACTACAAAGAGGCTATTATCAAAATTTGAAAGTAATTGAGGTAGCTTCAGCTTTGACACAGCTAAAGATGGAAGCAGAGGGACGACAAAAGTTGCTGAGTGTAATACCTGATAAGAAACGCTTGCGACAAAAGCAGTCATACAGCCAGACCAGAAAATCATTCACCCGAGACAAGAATAAAACAGTTGCTCATCAAGTTTCTGAGCAATGACATCACTATCTTTTTCTAGACATCCAAAAAAATATCTAAGGGAAAACCGATTTTAAAAGAAAACGAGACGAAGAAAATTTGGAGAGGACGATTTGTCACTTTCATCATGTCATAAGGCAGACAAGACTTATCACTCACGAATGATATGATAACAAAAACCTAACCTCGAAAATCAGCAGATCAGCAGCGGGAGGAACCAAAGGAGGAACAGTGAGCATATTTGTCTCTGTTGAAACTGGTTGAAACGGTGAAACCTACGGAAGATCAACTATATGGAATGATTTCCGTAACCCTTGCGCGGGGGAGCGCTGCAGTCGCGGGCGGGTGACTGATTCGCGGGGGGAGACATTCTGGCGGGGGGGCGTATGTGAATCGCGCGCGGGCACTACTGTTGTGCGCGAGGGTGACTGATCCGGGGGAGGGGGCCATTGTTTCGATTCATCGAAGAATCGATACACTACAGTGTTGCCAAGCCTATACACCAAATTTTCATGTCTATGGTTTTGAAATGGACATTACAAGTTCGAGTTTGTTCTGAAGATGGAAGAAGAAGAAGTTACTGTTGTTTGTTTACATAGTTCACGAGGAATATGGGGTTAGGTTTTATGCTTCAAATTTATGCTGACTTTAATTTCGTGAATTACTGAATATCTTAATACGTAATTTGGTGAAATTAAACGCCTATTGATTTGGAGATGGATGCTAATGAGGGAATAGGTAAGTACGTAGAACTAATTTTATTTTATCGCTGACAGTCTTCCGGAACTGTAATTTGGGCAGCCCAAAACANATGCAACTTCGGCCAATCGACGGCGGCTGTGATTGGTTAATACGGCGGTTACTCTACTAGTTTGACGTCACGAAACCGAGTAGTTACGGCCTCTCCATTCTCGTAGGCAACGCTCGAACTTGTAATGTCCATTTCAAAACCATAGACATGAAAATTTGGTGTATAGGCTTGGCAACACTGTAGTGTATCGATTCTTCGATGAATCGAAACAATGGCCCCCTCCCCCAGATCAGTCACCCTCGCGCACAACAGTGGTGCCCGCGCGCGATTCACATACGCCCCCCCCGCCAGAATGTCTCCCCCCCGCGAATCAGTCACCCGCCCGCGACTGCAGCGCTCCCCCGCGCAAGGGTTACGGAAATCATTCCATACAACTACCACTATCACAACCACAGGTATCTTCCGTATCTTCGAAGTGCAAAGCAAAGCAGATGAGGAATTCGCGGAATTTGCCGGCTATCTAGGAAGTCAGCACGATTATTCCGTCCATGACAACGAAGCGGCTGGGTAAGCGTGCATTTTTGTGCTTTTCTCATTTTTCATCCCATGCCATCTCTCTAAGTATCTGACAATTGTTCAGCCATGAGTTTTAGCTGTGAGCCTCTAAAACATCTCGGAGGAAGCTTTTTAGTGAGCACTGTTCACACTACCAGTCTGTTTCAAAGTTTCCAGGCAAACGGGAAATCCCGCCCGGGATACCCCGCAGGAAGTACCCATACCTACGCAGGAAGCACCCATACCTACGCAGGAAGCGTATGGGCATTACGGTGATTCATCAAGCTCAAGTGACATGGTCAAAGTGGCTTGTGATACATCGCATCGAGTAAGTAAAAAATCTCGGCAGGTTTTGAATTTTTAGTCTTAAAATGGTCAATAGCCCCTGTGCATGAGCCCGAAGAATCATTTTAAACCCAAAAATTAGAAAAATGAAAGCAGAATCCTGTTTGGTAAAAAACCTTGCATTCGATAAAGTTATCAATTTCTGTATCGAATGGAAGGTGTTTTTAGGGGCAGGATTCTACTTTTATTGCCCTATATTATGCATATTTTCTGGTTTAGAATGATTCTTTTGGTTCATGCTCAGGGGCCATTGTCCTTTATTTGGCTGAAAATATCCAAAATCTGCAGAGATTTTTGACCCTATCAACGCGATACTTAGTATGCCAGTTTGACTCCGCATTTTCAGATTCCTGTATGTGAATGCAGCATGTATGCATGTCTACATGCTCACAAATGCGTATTCTACTAAATTATGTTTAACATGGGAATATGTTCAGTAGTAGTCATGAACTTTATGAGCGAAAGAGGCATTTAATCTCTCATCTATTATTTTCTCTCGCTCAACTTCATTTCTGTACACATCTGCAAACACTCTTCAGTATCCAGTGCGTTGTCAAGCTTGGTCTTACATTTTCACAGAAAAGCTTCTATTAGGAAAAGAACGCTCTTGCTGATTTGCAGCTTAAATTTGGCGTTTCATTACTTTGCTGCGTTCGTGGTGATTGATCCTGCCTCAAGTGACATTTGCTACTGCACTTCAAATTTGGCACAAGTTACAAGCATGAAAACCAAAATTTTATAGGAAGCAAGGAAACTCTACACCATTTTGCAGGCACTGACGTATTGTTTAAATCACTCTTAAGGTCACGATACTTAAATGCTGCGATTCCAATAACTTCCACTTGGATATAACAACATCAAAATTCAGCGGGCTGTTTTAGACGCGCTTGTTGATTCTCTAAATCAGATAACATCTATATTTTTTACTTGCGCTGATTGTGTCATATTTTTGAAGGTAGGTATATTTAGAAGCTTACAGAGCAGGTTTGAGCACTACTCTTGTTGGAGTGAGCATATTATAAATGCGCAGCGAAATAAGAACTTAATGGGATATGGTTTGAACAACAACATGTATGTTCTTACTCTGCTGTACGTTTATACTATGCTTGCTCCAACAAGTCTCTTGTAAAAAAAACAAATTCAAAAACCTCTGCTGGATGTGCCAATTCATGGGAGGGGTGAAGGAATGTCAATTGCCCTCCACTCAGGTATATGATACTTGTTTTGAAGCAATTTAGGTGAAATATTTGATCATTTTCGAAGTTGTATGAAGTCAACCCCCCCCCCCTCCTTGCCCCCAAAGCTAATAGCTCATTCTCTCAGTAATTTTTCCCCCGCTCCCCTCAGGAGTTGGCTGAAATTGTGCTTTTGTCCTCCCCTCCACCTATTCCATCATGAGTTAGTGGACTGGAGGTATGATTCCAGCTTTTTGGTGCATCAAAGATCGCAATTATTTCAGTTTGATACCTACCTGTTTAGCAGAGTTTTCAAAAATAGAAACTGATGGGAATGGATTAAAATTAATCAGCTTTACTCAGTCGGAATTTAATATTGTTGCATTTCTATTTTTGAAAACTCTTTTGTATGAAAACATCTTTGTAACATCACTTGAACCGCCTCCAGGTCTGTGACTCCCTTAAAACTGATATCGATCTGTTGTTATCACAGTTGGAGCTGTGTTTTCACTTCATTAGTCAAGCTTTATCCTCTGTCTGAGCATTTAGTTGGCAGCATCAGCCTAGGTACCTACTTAATCCACCAGCGTTTCCATTTCTGTCTTTCTTTTGAAAACACTCACCAAGGGCATCCGGAAGTGTTGAAAGCTCTTTCTTGAAGCCGTAGCTTCATATAGCTAAATGTATTCTTGTCTGATCAAATTTTATCATATGCACTCTTATTTTGTGTCGCTCTGGTGTTAAGAAGTACATTGTCCAATAATCATGAATAACAGATACTGACCATGAGTCTTGGGGCCATATTTCTGATATGTTCTTAAATTTGGTTCGAGGAAGTATATCAAGCACCGAAAAATTTAATTGCTGCTCTACTGAGGAATCCTAAGTTGCGTTTAAGAATGCCATTACCTAACTGCGAAATAATAGAACAACTTAAAGTGAGTATTTTTTATCTCTGTTTTAAATTTAATTGTGAGTCTGTTTCTTGAAACAGAGACTTTTCTTGAAAAGTCAATGGGCTTCACATGAGGATGCTTGTTTTTTAGGATCATGGATTTGTTCGATTTCTCAAAGCCGCTACTCCGGGAAAAAATCAGAGGCAGTCAGACAGGTGGATATTCAGCACCCTCAAAGGAATCTGTCTACACTGATGATCTTGTTGTCTCACGAAAGAAAGGAAAAGACTACGTCAAAGAATATTTAGAAAAAGAGAAGTCAATCCCCGTTGAAGTGAGTATTTTTCTTTTATTAACTAATAGACCAATTTACAGGGTACAAATTAACTGCCACAACCAATGCATCATCTTTAAATTCATGCAGAGTTCTGCAAGGACTGTTTAAAAATTTCCATTTTCTACTCATAAATGAGGAAGTGCCATTTTTTTATTATGTTCCGCTCACAAAAAAACAAAGTCTCCTTAAGTCGATTCGAGCACTGAATTATTCTTATTAAGTTTCTCTGTGAAAATTTTTTTTCTAATCTTTCGAACAAGTTCTGCAAATCAGAGACAGATAAAAATTTTACTGAATCTAACACTGATTATTAGTCCAGTGTATGGGATTAGTTTGTTTAGCTATGTGTCTGCAATTGTTCTGCGGATCCCTCTGTGAGCTTTTTGTATCTCAAGTAAACATAATTCTTAATGGAACATGATTTATATCTTCTCACTGTGGATCACTCCAATCATTCCCTTTTTTTCAGGTTGAACAACCATTTGATCCCTTGACAGGAAAGTACATTCCAAAACGCACCGGCCCAAGTTCACTTTCGCAAGTGGACGATTTAACATCCACCGGCTCAGTCGCAAATCTCGGGGACTTTGTAGCAGCGAGAACTTTGAACGATGTCTACACCAGATACAAATTTGATCAAAAGCCACCATCGAACCTACTAGTCTCTCGGCATAAAGAAACGGTATTCTTTCTCTCCTCACTATATATTTTTCATTTTCAAGTCGCTGAATAGCTGAGTAAATAGATTTACCTAATTCAGTCTCATTTTCAGACAATTATCCAGTTCAGGACTTCTACTGGGGTGTCCAGGATCTAGAAATACCTGGACTCATCAAGGAATGGAATATCTCCCGGAAAAACAGGGAATCCTTCAGGGAATCGGTGTTGAAAACTGGGAATTTCTTTTCCCTTACCTTGATACGATTTACTTTATAAAGTTGGTAGTTTGCCTTTGCTTAATCATCTTATATTACCCAAAAAGTTATGAAATTAACACAATAATTTAAGAAATTGTTGAGTCTTCATCTGGCTCATCGAGCAGTCTTATCTAAGAGCTTGCCTAATTTTTAGATACTGGATCACGTAAACAGCTACAGAGTGACAGTCATCCAAGGTGCTACAGGCTGTGGTAAAACAACTCAAGTGCCGCAGTTCATCCTTAATCATTTCGCAGCGTATCGTGAATACTGTAACATTGTTGTTACTCAGCCAAGACGTATTGCCGCCTTGAGCGTTGCCCACAGAGTTGCCTCGGAACGAAGCTGTGATGTTGGTACCTTAGTCGGCTATCAGGTCAGAATTGTTTTATTTCTACAAACAAAATATATCATGTTTCTTTTGTTGATAGCTGTTAATTAAAAAGAGTCAACACAGGAAAAGTAGGTAGAAACACTTAAGAAGACATCTTGTGACAATTTTATACAGAAGTATGTATTGTCAAGAAAAGATTGTTTTCTATGGAGGCTTGGGAATATGAGATTTCGCCACGAATTTGAGAAATAAGCCCTGGATATGTACAGTTTTTCCTTATAATTTATCCTATCACACTCCTACAAAACATCTTTTAGATTGTGCATTTACTTTTTTTTAGATTCTACTTTTTATCTGGTTATGTCTTGAAGAAAATCCATTTACTTCTTCAAAGGAATGGGCTAATTTATTTTGTGCATGCTTCCTCCAGGTAGGGCAAGAAACTAAAGGAAAAAGCGAAGAAACTAGGCTGCTCTACTGCACCACAGGAGTTTTGCTGGAGAAGTTAATCAATGCCAAAAACTTGGACGACTACACTCACATTATACTTGATGAAGTTCACGAAAGAGATCAAGAAACAGACCTCCTTCTTGTTGTAATCAAAAAGCTTATGACAAGATCTCCTCGAACAAGAGTAAGTAAGCTTCTAATTAACTTATGCCGTATCAAGGTATGAGGACTTATCTGTAACAATAGCGGATGTGAAAAATTACCTTTTCGAAACACGGTCAAAAAACTGTTTTGTTCACACAAAAATTTAATATGTCTGGCTCTGGCATTATGTACAGATCTCGAAGATCATATCTCAAGTATTTTCTCAAAATTTTCTCGATGCCACAACAGTTTTTTGAATGTGTTTCAAAAAGGTAATTTTTCACATCCGCTATTGTTACAGATAAGTCCTCACATATGAATCAGTACTTTCAATAAGGGCGCCAACCTAATTGTCAAACCATTTTTTTCTTTCTTCAGTTTTAAGCTCTCTGTATGCTCCTTTTTAAATATCAAAAGAGGATTAATCATAATTTTTTTAGCATGAGATTGCATCACTTACTCAAAAACTAGTGAAACTCAAATTTTAAGCCTCCCTGCTACTGATAATGACAGGACTCTAGTTATATGAGTAAAATGGGACCGGGCTCAACCTGCATGAACAAAAATCTTGGTTGAAGTGAGGATCAGGGAAATTCCACACAAGGACGAGAAAAATACATAGAACCTGCACTGATTTACTTTTTCCCATTCTTTTGATTGCCGTAAATGCTCAATCGAAATGACTGTATGCTCTCTTTTAACCTTTCGAGACACAGCACCATATTTCTGAGACATCACACTTAAAAACGAAAAAAAAGACACACTAAATTTGCCACAACATCGGCGTTCAAGTGGCAATCATAGACAGAAAAGTTTATTGATCCCAAGGTGCATCAGTCTCCATCATTTCATGCTAGCATACTTTTATTGCCTTTGCATACTTTTCCTTTTAAAGAGGGTAGTGGAACTTAAATCCTTTTCTTCATTTACAGTGGTCAGTTGCTTGATGTAGCAGACTGATTAGTCAAATTAGGCATTTTGTCAATTGGTAATAGTCAAGAAGGCAAATAGTTAGATTTTGAACATATATCAATATTGTCTTCTTCAATCATTCAAAATTCTTCACATCATTTTTTCCTGAGCAACTTTCACATTATTGGCACTTCATGAAAAAACGAGTAAACCTTAGGCATATTTACTCAGAGTTCAAAATTCTGTAAAAATAGAATGTTGTATATTTAATCAAATGTTTCACGGAAGATTCTTTCCTACTCATTTGGATAACTTTCCGTTCTAAAACTAGGAAATATCTCAGTATACCAATCTACATTAGAATAATTGATAATCTGCCCAGGCATTTGGCAAAATGCCCGGTTTGAATACTCGTATTAACAAGGTGGTATAGTAGTTCTGGGACCACACTATTTTAAGGGGAAAAACCAAGCCAAAAAGTTTCACCTTGTCACATGCAGTCTGGGCCACATTTTTAGTGTTTTTCTTGTCTGGATATTAACCTGTGTCATACTAGAACTCAATCCCAAAAATCTAAAGTTGTTCCTTTGCATAGAATGCTCACCATGAGTCCTCTACCATCTTAATTTTGCTTATCCATTTCAAGACAAAGTTAAATAATCAATACTGTCTTTCTTTCCTCCCACAGATCATTTTAATGTCCGCAACTCTGGAGGCACAGAAGCTAGCACACTACTTCCCAATAAAGATCTATAATGAAAATAGAGACTGTCCAGTAATTGATGTCGGTGAAAAGATGAATTACGATGTCAAAATATTTTATTTGGATGATTTAAAACCTTGCCAGACGTTATTTCTTCAAAATGTAAGTGTGGCTCGTGTAAAGTATATCCTAAATATCCATTCGGTGTCTACAGTAGAGAATAAGTACAGATACACTGAAAATGTATGCATTTGGTTGATACAGAAGAGAAAAGAAACAAATATAAGGAACTCTCATGATGAACTTAAAAAATAACCATCGGGGTTTGTAATTTCTCAACATAGTTGACTTTATCAAGTTTTTAAAATTTGAATCCTTGCGTTGCTGTTCGTCCTAGTTCATATCTTTATCATTTGTACATTCCACTTTTCGAATGTAAATTTCCCAGTTTTCTTTTTTGTCGCTCAAAGCTAAGCTAATCTCATTTTTGTTGAATGAATACCATAGCTCTCATCATAGTTTTTTTTATTGCTGAATATTGAAGATTGTTGATCCCCAAGAAAACTATTTTTGTGAAATGTCAAAAAATTATTTATGTGATCTGTCAATCTGTGTGTCTGGAAAAAATGCTGTTCTTTTGCAGAGTGACAAATTCCTGTAAGGTGAGGGAATAGTAGATAGAAAGTAATGAAAAAGCAAGAAGTTTTGGAAACCCCTTAAAAGGAATTTGTGGGGAAGTTAGGAAAAATAAGGAAAAGTCAATGAGAAAACAAAGAATTTAAATGATGAGACACCAGTAGTCACCCTAGTCTATCAACGTATTCCCTGTCCACATGTTCTTGAGTATGTGTCATAACAGGCCTAAAAACATGCAGAGGCTGCTGCATTGCTAGCGCTACCTCTTGATGAGTATGCCGGTACAACAATTTACAAAATGCAAATGTCATTGTTTATTTCTTGCGCAGCAAAATATACTTAATGATTAGTTCTACCTGCAGGTATTATCCTTGTCTCTAGGTAATGTGGTGAAAAGTCTCCAAACAGATCTGTCACCAGGAGACACTTAAAAGTTACCATTGAAATAGGAGTAGCAGGCAATATTTTATAAGTTTTAGAGTCAAACGTCTACCTCAGATTCTCTCAGGCAGATGGACATAGTTGTCGCCTCATCTTTCCTGGAATGGGTCAGTTTTGCATTTTGGACAGTCATTGAACAATGAAGTCGATCACGAGTTTAACAAACATTATTTGGAATTTGACCTCGAGCAATTCGGAACAAATGCTTGTTTGCTTCGATAATTTGTAGATTAAGGAATTAGTGTCTCAACAGCTAAACAGATTAACAACTTAATTAAGCTCAAGCAGATTTGGTCAGCTTAGGTCAAATGTAAATTGAATTGGTATTTCTTATGAAGACTCAAGCGTCAAAAATGAAATTTTGAGAAAAACGGTGAGAACTATTTAAACCAACCCGTTCTAAATCTTGGAGATCAGACAAATGAATATGTGAGAAGATTGCAATTTGAATTTGAATTGCGGTTGTCCCAAAAAATTGCCGAAAATTTGAACAGAAAAAGAACAAAAAAACGAATTGACGATTAAGTCTCTTTGAGAATAAACAGGCTTGTTTCAACTTGTTTTCCCCCATTCAAAGTCAAATGTTTTGTATATCAAGCCATAATGTGCACGAAAACTTAATTACACTTTCTCTACATAAAATACGATGATATCTCACTGACTGCTGATTACACTACTGATAATCGCTCAAAAGTGCAAGTCCTTAGTAAAATCTCATAAAAGAGACCTCTCACGCCTGAAGGCACAAGTTTTTATCTCCTACTTCTCGAAAATCCGAGGTAACTTTGAAAGGTACAAATCAGATCAAATCATGAAAAACAAGTTCCATATAGTGCTTTGACTTTTTGTCTTTTTGAGAATGACTGGACTTTTCAGTTGTTTTTTAGGCCTTTAAAATCAATTTTTCTGCATTCGACTTAGCAACCAGATGCATCTGTACCCAAACAATACCGAATCACTATCAACTCAATTCTCGATTTTTTGGTGTTTAAGTCCCCTTGAGAATGACTGATTTAATTGGATGTTTCACATGAGATTTCTACCCTGAAAAATAATGGTAACAATTTTACTTTCAGGATAACCTGATTGAATTTCATAAACCTGATATCGGCCGAGGAATGTATGAGCTTGCAATCTACTTGTTGAAGAATTTTGACCACATAGAAAAGAATGACTTGCCAAATGGCTTAATCAATCCACGAGGATATGTTCTGGTGTTCCTTCCTGGTCTCTTGGAAATTGAACAGATGCACCAGATGATAACAAACGATGAAACTGACCGGTTAGTCTCTCCTTTTTTCTTTTTCTTTTGTTTTGCGTTTCACATATGCTTACATTTTAAAGTCGATAAACTCACCTTAACTTGAATGGATTCAACTAGTATTAGCCTAACTACATTTTATGTTGCCAAATTTTCTCTCATGTTTTATATTTTTAACAGAGAGCTGAAGGACATAACTTGTCTATTTTCTGATTTACCTTAGATTATGAAAAATATTTCAATTTAAATTTCAAGTCTCAGTATTTTTCGCATTATGTCTAAAAGAGAGAATATTACTGAAAATTAGGCACCATTTGATGTACTTAGTCAGGATGATTTCTGTTGAATCTGTCTTATTTTATAACAGTTTCTCTATCCAGAAATAGTGATACTTCACTTAGAAAAAGATTAGAGTCAAAATGAGGAAAAAAATAGCTCTAATTTAGATCGTTAAAGCATCTAGTTTCTGCCGAAAGGGAAATACATAGCGTGTCCCAAAACAACTGAGACCAAGTCTGTAATTCGGAAAGTATGATAGATATCAAAATGCGGTTTGTGAGAGGTTGTAGTCCATACTATTAGCTATCAAACCTCAAAATTTGAGCTTACTCGGTTGAAAACTCACCGAGTTATATCATTTTTGCGGGGACGAGTTGAACAGAACCCTCCACTATTTTCGAGAAATATTTTTCATTTCGTGAACTGTTTGTGAGTGGCGCTGCAGATCGCAACGCTGTGGATCAGGTGGAGGGATGAAGTGATCACTGTTCTGGATGCAAGTTTTATCCTGTTAACATGTGTTTTCATCGCAATTGTCTGCGGGAAAGCTCAGTGCAGCCGAAACCATCAAGCGTAACTGAGTGTTTTCTCGCAACGCGCAATGAGTTTGCCTGCTGAGTTGAAACAAGAACAACGTTATGCCATTTGCTATTGCGTTCGCCGTGGCCTTTCTGCCTTCGATACTTTAAACGAGATGACAGTTACTTATGGACTAAATCGACTTGGGAAAAGTACCATTCTTCGTTGGCATAAATGCTTTTCCGAGGGTCGAGAGTCAGCAGCTTGTTTCAACTCAGCAGGCGAACTCATTGCCCTTTGCGAGAAAACACTCGGTTACGCTTGACGGTTTTGGCTGCACTACCTTTCCCGCGGACGATTGCGATCAAAACACAATGAAACACAGTGTTGCATTAACAGGATAAAACCTGCATCTAGAACAGTGACCACTTCATCCCTCCACCTGATCCAAAGTGTCGCGATCTGCAGCGCCACTCACGAACAGTTCGCAAAATGAAAAATATTACTCGAAAATAGTGGAGGGTTCTGTTCAACTCGTCCCTGAAAAATGTTACAACTCGGTGAGTTTTCAACCGATTAAGCTCAAATTTTGAGGTTTGATAGCTAATAGTATAGTCTGCAACCTCTCACAAACCGCATTTCAATATCTATCATACTTTCCAAATTACAGACTTGGTGTCAGTTGTTTTAGGACACCCTATGTAGTGTGGACTTGTTCCTTCTAGCAGTGGCTCTTTAAATATTTGTAAAAGGGAAGCATGTCTGCATTAAAAATTGCATTGATATCAAAGTTGCAAGGTCGTGCTATTAAACGTTCATACATTACATGGGTTTAAACGAAGAAAAGTGCCGATTCTTCGGGTCGTTTTCAGCTAACAGGCCGTATGTTTTTCTGCTGCTTTTTTATTTTTTATCATATTTATTTTTTTTACTCTATGTCGACTTGCTAGGCTGGCCCAAATATTTTCTAAACAGAAAAAGCTTGTTGAAATTTTAGTTGGATATAATAATTCCAGTGAGCTACTTTCAAAATTTAAGTTGGTTTCAGAAGGATTTTGGTGCAAACATGTCGACTTTCCCTCATCTCAGCCACAAATTTCACTTTCTACTTTATTTCATGCATAAGCAATATTTTTTCCTCAATGGCTTTGCTGAGTCCTGAATATTTCATAATTCATTCATAATTTCAGAACCGTCAAACATATGGCATTAAGATTTTAACAGGAAGGTGCGTCGCCGAAATGATGAACACATTTTTGGCTGTCATTTCGGTGATGCACCCCTCATAAAAATCCTTTGCTACTGCCCCATTCTATCTGTCAGCCTTACCCAGCTTACAGGGAAGATTTTGTCTACTGCAATAGGTCTCTAGACAAGCTACAAATTTCAGCTCTAAATTACTATATTCTTCCTCAAAATTTCACAAGGAAAACAAGTCTCACAACGGGAAGTTAGGAAATGAACCCCTTAACAAGATATAAGTGCTTACACTCAACATTGATCATTGGCAAAAGCACAAATGACTTCATTTGTACGATCCAACTTCCATCTGAGCTGTGTTAAAATTACTTGTTAATATCTAGTTCAGGTGTTGATTTTTGAACTTCTTGTTGTGGGAACTGTTCTCTTCATAAGGTTTTGAAAAAAATACAGGTAAAGTTTTTTTGCTAGTCCAGATCATGTCTGGTGGCCAATCTCATTTGAATGCCTCCAATTTTTCACACATCATGTTGAGGAGATCATGCTTTGTGTAACAAAAAGTCATCTCTCTATCCTCAAATCTCTGTTTTTCAACATTTAAAATAAAAAAGAAATTAATGTTGTATTTCAGAAAACTCAAGTGGTCAGTGCATGTTCTTCACTCCAGCATTACCATTGAGGAGCAGGATATAGCGGTCAAGTTGTCAGCACCCCCTGGTCACCGCAAAATTTTTCTCTCAACCAACATCGCTGAAAGCTCTTTAACCATGAAAGATGTCAAATACGGTAATTTTTTTACACTTCAAGATTTATCCGATGACAGCTCTGATTGTCACAAGTTCCCTGCATAGATTGTTCTCAGTGTTTTTCTCAGGATTAGCAATCTACAGGATATCAAGCTGTGGAACCTATCTTGAAAACTGGAATTTGTTGTCGATTTAACCTGTTGCCATGCTTTTGTTCTCCAACTTCCTGGCCTTGATATTCCATTTAAATCAGATTGAATCAGCCCTTCTATCAAAATAACTTGCGCATATACATATACATCTGGCCGCAATATGCGGAAACAAAGAAGACTGAATACGAAATTGTTTGGAAAAGCAGGCTTGGCAAAACCTTTGTTGCCCATGCACGCTTGATGGACGGCTGCAAGCAAAGCATGGCAATGGAATGAGGAAAATCAGGAACTTATCGGTGAAATTGAGAGGTATTGTGAAATGAAAAAAATTTAGAAATTTTTGCATAGCTACAACAAAATCATGAAAATTTTGATGTTGAGTTGTGTGCGCAAGTTATTTCAACGGAAGGGCTGATTCATCCTGATTTAAATGAAATATCAAGGCCAGGAAAATGGAAAACAAATTTGTCCAATTTTTTACAAAGAACATAATCACTTGAAAGCTTTACCTAATATTTCTTTTGTCATGAAGATAAATATGTACCTGAAATTTACATGAAAGTATGTCCACGAGTTAAGAAAAAAAATTCAAACAATTATGAGGTGTCTGGAAACACAGTTTCTAAGGTAAATCGCGCTCATGAAACTTTGGCTGGAAGGTGATGACTAGTGGAATTTGTAAAAGTTCATAGGTATGGAGAAAATGTTTGCGGAAACATCTGTTTAGCCAGCATCACTCAGCGTTCAAGAAGTGTTTACAGTCATAGCTGTCGTAAAACCTCGTTCCCAGAGTTAATTTTCGTTTAGCACAGTGGACCCTTTTTAAGGCTCTTTCCAAGGCTACTGTCGTGCTAAGGAAAAACACCAGTGCAACGTTGAGCATTCAAGAGTTTTCAAATTTTCCCAATAAAATTTTTATTTTTGAGGAGAGATATCAATTATCTTTTTTATAAATTTTTAGAAAATTTTAATCTGATCGTCCCTAAATTGCCCTAAAAATTAAAGGAAACATATCCACAGATCTCCGTGAAAATATTTATTTTATCAAAAGAATGTCGTAAGGCTCATAATGCGTTCTTCAATAGTCCAGCAGTCTAGGTTTCTCTTATCAATTTCTCAGATTTCAGATATCAGTAGTGTGTTTTCTCCAGATCATTCTCGATTTAAATCAATTGAGAAAATTAAAGATTTAATTATCTGTAGGAAAAATAATTAGATTTTATAAATTGCAATATTGAAAATCTAAAATCTTAATGTTTCTGCCCCATAGTAATCGACTTCTGCCTAACAAAACAACTCAGGTGTGAGACTGGAACATCATTCACTCACTTGCAGAAAGTCTGGGCCTCTCACAGCAACTGCACCCAAAGAGCTGGTCGTGTCGGTCGAACGGATTCAGGGAAAGTTTATCGGCTTGTTCCAAAGGAATTTTATGAGGTAAGTCAGCACCTAGTGATTCTCTAAGGAGCATGCTGCCATGCTAAAGAAAAACGCTGTATGAACCTCCAGGCGTTGCCCAATTTCATCTGATAAGATATGAAATTATTGAAGAAATTGTAAATATTTTTCTTTCAATTTTTGAGACTATTTTGTTCGCAATTTAATCTATAACATCTGAAAATTTTGAGGAAAAATATGTATACATTTTGTCGAAAAAACATGTTTTATCTGGGGAAATTTGGCAACTCTCGAATGTTCATACAGCGTTCTCCTTAGCACAGCAGCATGGGTATCTCTTAATAGGCGCATAGAAGAGTGTTGTACAAAAATTTCGGGCCAAAGTATGCTCTAACCGTATCAAACCGAATTGGAGTTACATCAATTTAAAGTTTGCAGTTCAAAACACAGTTTTGAGAAAAAGTTTTCTAAAATTCTCATGTGCTGTTTTCAAAGCACAAAATTGCCAGGCCATAATATAACTCTTTGCCCACAACAGACCACCAGACAAGGTGCAAATATTTATGATTCATGTTGCTGAATCAAAATCTCACATCCAGGATCTCAGATTACTTAACTCAGGGTATAAAGGGACTCCAGTATTGGCTTCAAAGCTGCCAGAAGACAGACCCCTCCCAGTAAGGTTCAAGTTTCAAAATTTCTTGCATTTTTGCAATAATTTAACAATAAAATTGCTTCTGCAATTTGCATTGCCAACCCGTGGTCTGTATTAATTTTAGAGTCTGTATTCTTTGTATAGGTGGAGATGTTACCTCGTTTGCAGCCAGAAATTTGTGTTAACCCCCTAGACCGTGTGGTTTTGAAAACAAAAGTTTTAGACATGGGACCACCCATTGCCATTCTGGCCGCTGCATTGGACCCACCAGATCTTTCAAACATAGAAATGACTGTCGCCACGCTGAAGGAACTAGGCGCTTTACTTCGCACGGTAGGCGACGAATATAAGGAGGATGATGGAGATCTGACCTTTGCCGGGCGACTGATGGCCACCTTGCCCCTAGACCCTCGTCTTTCCAAACTGATTTTGCTGGGGTTCATTTTTGGCTGTTCAGATGATTGTATCAAAATCGGTGAGTAGTCTGTTGTTACAATAACATGCCCTCCGTGTGAATCATCCCAGTGAGTTAGGCCTTGTATACATGGGACATTTTCATGAGATTTGTTGTTGGATCGAATCTGAGAAAAGAGACTAACTCCATGAGGCAGGATTCTCAAGCTCCTAGACAAGTCTGCTCAGGAAGATAAAGTAGTAAAAATCGAGTATTTAAACGGAATTAAGGTAATATTTGATGAGCCCTTTTGAACAGCCACGCATGACAGAAATGATAGTTGTGAGAAAAATTCAAATAAAATATTCAAATGCGTGCAGTCTTGACAAAAATTGAGGAATTCCTAAAATTTAAAAACATTATTGAAAGGCATACTCTCCTTGATCAATCGGCTCAAAGGACAACATTTTAAAGCTACTTGGCACTTCGTAGTGAAGAGAGATGCAAGTTACGTTATACGTGATTTTCATAGAGAATCATTTTAGCACCTCAAAAACATTGCTGGAACTATCGTTTCCAGACCTTAGTAGAAACTTTCTTCTTATCTTGTAAACAATAGTAAGATTTTACCCTGATTTTTCAGAAGGAAAATTGTGACTAAAATCAGCGAAGTATTCTAGAGTTTCTTATCGCCAAACCTAAAAATGAATTCAATGTAATGCATATGTTTTTTTATTTTTATTGTTTTAAACACATCTTATTTAAAATTATCGGAACTACTACAGTAACCGCTACTAGTATGTCTTGTATCTATCTACATGAATTATATTTACAAAGGTATTAAGTGACAAAGTAACCTCAGATTATACATATCGTCACCTTCCAGGCAAAGTATCACAAGCGCCATGCGACGTTTAAAAATTTCCGCCGTCATTTTATTTTTCTACTGAGAAATTGTTGGTTGAATCTGTTTGGAAATTTCACTAAATTTTATCGGCAGCACAAAGAAAATTCAGTGAAATTTTCGGACAGCTTCGTTGAACAATGTCTCTGTAAAAAAATAAAATGGCGGCGGAAATTTTTAAACGTCGCATGGCGCTTGTGATACTTTGCCTGGAAGGTGACGATATTATGTATCTAGAAGATCAAGAATTTTTGAATTATCTGTCTTTTGTTACAAGAAAAGTACGTGTGCTACATTACTTGTTGAATTGGTTTTGAATAATTCCTTCTTTCGCCCCTCATTCTCACTTTCATTTTTACATTACAGAAGAATACATAACACAGCAATATAAATGCACTTGCGTTTGTGTTTTCTGTGTTATTTTTTTAATTGTGAGTATTTGTTGTTGGTTATTCCTGTGGGAGAATTGAAGAAAAAATAATATTTAAGAAGTTTTCCATGTGCATTTTCTTGTCAACCTGATTGTTTTGTATGCTGTTTTATCAAGACACTATCCTTTCTTTTCAGCATGTGCTATGTCAAACAAGAGCTTATTTAGTAATCCTTTCAATAGAAAATATGAGTCCTATGAAGCTAGATTGTTATGGGCAAACGCATCCACTTCAGACCTTATCGCAATTTTGAATGCCTATACAGTAAGTTTTTTCTATTATTTCTATCACAGTTCCTAATATTGAAGAGAATAAGGAGAAAAAAACCACTAAAAAAGTAGTCTGAATACTGGAACTAACAGGAGGGTGGAATGGCACTGGCTTGATACCATTCCGCTGAAATATCAAACTAGAGAAAACCAAAAATTAGAATTTGAATAAAAAAAAATGAACTCTAATAGGTTTTAGTACAAGACTGAGAGGCGAGAGTGCTCAGTTCAGACAGATTGAAGTACTAAGCTAGGGTTACACTGAGAGATCTATACTGATTTGGGTCTTTTTAAACACCATCAGCAGATCACACTCAGTCAGTGAGCCAAGCTTTGTGTCCTGCAAAATCCTAGACGGCTTTAACCAGCTGATGAGGTCTAAAAAGCCCCAAACTAATACAGATCACTTAGTGTGACCCAGCCGAGTGTTGCAACGTATTTGTCTGAGCTGAACACTCTCCTCCCTCAGTCTTGCACAGAAATTCATCAGAGTTCATTTTGTAACTCTACTTCTAATTATTAGTATTTTCGGGCTTTGATTTCCCTGCAGAGTAGTGCAGATCTGCCACTATTTTACCATTCTGTCACTAATAATTGAGTTAAAATCGTTGCTTTACTACAGTAACGGTACCATGATTGGAGTTCACAAATTCTGGATCCTTCGGGATCAAGAAGGATTTATGGAACCAAAATGCGAAAGAAAACAGTATGTAATAAGAAAAGTTGTAGGTGCTTGAGTTGGTGCCTGTGAAATGGGCTAGTGGAATGAGCAGTTTTGAGAATGCCAAAGACTGTTTAGAAGATTGATATTGGGAAAACAGCATGAAGTGCCGGAATAAAGTGCAACAAGGATTTTAACAGTAGAAGCATTAAGGACCAATTAGCAAATTAGGGACGTTCTAAATTTACGAAAAAGTTGCGCTTTTTGAACTACAGTGAAACCTCGCTAAGTCGGTTTCCGGATAAGCCGGTAACCCGCTTTAGTCGGTAGAATCGCCCGGTCCCGTTTATCACCCATATAACACAATGCTAAATAAGTCTCGGTATCTCGGTTTGGTCAGATTCTGAACCCGCTTAACTCGGTGAAATTTTTCCATCTCGACCTGTTTTTCTTCGATCGTCACCCGTGATCAAGCGTAGGTAGCGTTTCCGTGCGCGGTACGGGTCGGGTCAAGTTACGCCACGAAGGGTGAGCGAATCTCCGAGAAAGCGCAGCGCAGTGCGAGAAACGACATCGGAAATAGAGAGATAAGGAATCAAAAACACTCGATAACGACACGAAAGATGAGAACAGTAGAGAATAGGATATCTGATACCGCGTGTTATCTTATCGCGCGTGTGAAAACACGCATGCATAATTAAGCAATTTCACGCATCGATGAGTTGACAGGTCAAGTCGGCACCGGCCCCTCTCCCCCTACCATCTTGCATTGCCCTTCCCCGCTCCCCACAGGAATCTTCCGCAGAGTTTTTCGGAGATTTTAGCGAGTATTGATACGTTGCATTTTCAGTTCAACGACCCGCCATAGCGGGTGGCCGCGGCGCATCACCGCGCGGCATGCCGCGTGGGGTGCGCGGGGGGTGATACGCAATGGGGTGCCGCGGCACCCCAACATACGATTAACCCGATGACTTCATGATGCCCTGACACTTACAACACGCAATTTCAAGTGCATCTCATGAAATTTTACTCTTTAGTACCATTTTCTTCGATCAAATGGCTCTCCTAAACACTCCCACAAGTCACTCTACACGCACGTTTGCGTTTGTCCAATTTAGGGCGCGAAATTTGAAAAAGCGCGGCAGGAAAAGTGGCAGTCCGCGTAAGTCGGTAACCCGCTTAACTCGGTAAATTTCCTCGGTCCCGATGAAAACCGACTTAGCGAGGTTTCACTGTACATATTTCTCAGTTTCTGAGTTACTTTTTCGCGTTTTGAATGTGCGCATCGTATTCTATGCTTCATTTACCTTTGGAAAAATGTATTTGCAAGTCAATATTCATTCAAAATTTAGTGACGCATCATAAATAGAATTTGAAATCTTTTAATCCAAATTTTGATGAGAAAATAAGCATTGTAACTGTAGTGTATAATCCCTTATTTCGTCTTGTGGTCCATTCATATTTAATTTTACCAATGATTTTGTTCAATTTTAGGCCTGGGAAAAGGCACTTGATCAGAAGAATTTCATGCACACTGGCCTTGGAACTCCAGAAGAAAATGAAAAGAGATGGCTTAGAGATTATTTTCTCCAGAGTCATCCACTCAGGGCTACAAAGATCTTGATCATGGATGTTCAAAAACGTTTACTGCATCTTGATATTGTCAATACAGTCAACTCAAAACTGAACCTGAACGATTACGAGAAAGCTTTGGTGTTAAAGGTTAGTTCAAGTATATCTCTGCGCTTTGGCTCAGCTGTTGCATGATATTTATGCTTTGATCAACACAGGGCAAAGAATGAGCCCTGCAAGATTAAGAAGCCTATCAAAACCATTCTAATGTATGATTCGATTCAAAGAAACTCTAGTTTTTTCACTGTGAGCAGGAAATCTAACTTTGTTGCAACCAGTGTTAAATGAACACATTAGTATCTTGGTTAGGAGTTGATTCCAGTAATTCCATCATGTTAATCGTGTTCAATGTCAAATTTTTCCATGGGAACATACATCAAATCGCTACAATTCCTACCTTGTACAGTGGTTCATTCAGTAATTGATACTGGAGCATAAAGGAGTGCTCTTCAAACATTTTGAGATGAAAACACCAAATAATCCCAAACTGAACCCTATGAATTTTCAAATTTTACAACTCATAAAACGAGATTTTCTTTTTTAATTTACATAATTCCTTGAACAGACATACCCACCCAAATAAGAGAGAAGATATAAGAAGTATATTTTTACTCATCAAAAAATGCTACTTTCCAATTAAAATGTTGCTAGTCTTCAATTGTGTTTTGTTTTTTAATAAACTCACCAACAAGTTCTCTTGATATCATCTGAGAAACTTTCGCAAGTTTTCTATCAAGAAGAGGAAACTGCAAGCGGATTAATACCGCAGTTATTACTCCACCAGACCTGTGGCACAGTTACTTCCTCCGTAATTTAGTGAGATGGAATGAATTTAAGAAGTTTGGGAAAAATGAAGTAAAGAAACTATTGAGTATATCATTTAGTATGAGGATTTTTTGAGAAGCACTTTTGAACTTTCAGACTGAAAAATTTTACTTACTTTTTATTTAATGTGGATTTACACTGTATCCTGTCAAGAGGCAAAAAAAATAGGGCATTTGTGTCAAAACAGGGGGTTTCTAGCCTCAGTGGGATCTGACTTAGAAAGATTTTACTGGTTTATAGCTACTCAGAGTTGCTTCAGAGTTTATCAACTTCTTGATGCCCAGATTTTCTTTAATTTTCACCCTTAACAAACCTCTTCTCTGAAATCAGCAAAAATTAAACTACAGTTTAGCCATCAGGTTAAGCAAGACCAAAACAAAAACAAAGAAACAGTCTCGAAAAATCTTTATGTATTTTTAGAGCAAGTGTGAGAAAGCCTCATAATGTCTGAAAATGTGATTGTCTTATATCTAAAATTTTTATTGTTCTCATTAATTAAAAGTAAAAATGCTCTTTCAAGGGATTTATTAATTACATCAACTGATGAAAGAGCTTTTTGGTTCAGTGTGGCGTTTGTAACACTCCTTCTTTAATTTTTGACCTATGTTTGTAAGGTGGCGATTGCTGGTGCTTTCTACCCCCAGTATTTCACTAGAGGCTGTGGAAATTCAATCGATGAGCAGGAAGCGCTGAAAATTCTCTTCAACAATGACCCGTTCTCTACTGTCTTACTGACAGGATTGCCAGCAGAGCAGCCTGGTGTTTTGTATGTTTCTCAAATCAAAGATCAGTTGTCAAAATGTTGTGATAAAGAAAACATGCGCGTTTCATTTGACAAAAGCAGGTCTGAATCATCAAATTTTATCAATAAAATTGAATTGTTTTATTTTGTGACAATAATCTGTAGGAGATTTTCTATCATATGAATAGTGAAACAGCGTTAATTTCTGTAGTGCTTCAAATGCATGAAAATGGCAATTTTCGCAGGAGTTTGTGTGTTCCAGAGGTTGAGTTTACAGATTAGCAAAGAATAGTGAGGTCTGGCCCAGTGCTGCCCAAATAACTGGAAAAATTTCTGAGAATAATATTCTTCTATTTTTCTTTAACATATTGTCTGTCACAGTGTTTTAGCATTTAATTCCTGCAAGGCTACAAAAACACAAGGAAAGTGCCCCTTAAAAATTTGAATGCGACGCAATGATCAATTCTCCAAGGAAAGCGACGATGGCACCCTCTGTTGGGCATTTAATGGTACTGTTAGTTCACTTAAATACCGAGAGAAAGTATGCACTGCGTGGCTTTTTGCCCATTCCAATTCTTGCCTCCCCTTCAATAGAATTTTAGATTTTGTACACACAGAATGAGGTTTTACTGTTTTCTATTTGTTTTTCAGCAAAGTTTATGTGCAATTCTACAATGAGTTTTGGAAAAATCCAGAAAAACCAATTGGAAAGTTCTTCACAACCTCTAAAATACCTGGAAAAATTCATCCCTCTGTTTATGGCGCTCTTAAACTTCGACAGCTTAAAATTCCTATAAAACTCGATTTACTACCGTAAGTATATTTCAGTATGATCTAGAATAATTTTCCAAATAATGAACAACCTGTTTTGTTAGTTTGATGTGTTAATTTGATTTTGTTTCAGCTCAATGAACCCTTGACTTTCTCCACAGATATTTGAATAGATCAATAGACAAGGTGTGTCTTTATGCATTATGATATGTTTTTTTTTTATCAAAATTCTACTTAGAAAACGATTTTTGCAATGAAATATATCAAAATTACGTCCTAATCAAAATAGGAGTTTTATTGTTTTTGGAGGCAAAAATTTAAACTTTCCACTCATTTGAAAACCGCAATTGACCTAATTTAAACCGCACACTAAATATAGCTGTGACAATCTCTACAGTATGAATTCAGGGCAACCTCAATCTCTGCGCTTCAGCTTAGCTGTTGAACGTTGTCTCTACCTTTCGAACAACACAAGGTGGAGAAGGACTCAGAAGTCTGCCAAAACCGTTGTAATGCGCGATTTAGTTTACATGGACTAGTTTTTCTTGTCATCAGGAAATTCAAATTTTCTCAACCAGTGCTAAAATGTTAATATCTCTGTTAGAAATTAATGTCAGTCATTTTCATTGTACAAATCGTGTTCTTGAAATTTTCATTGAGAGGAAACATACATCCGAATGCTAAAATTTGTGCATTGTCCAGTGGTTCATTGAGTTTTCATGGGCTGGTTATCAATATTGGATGTGGTAAGAGTCTTGGTTGTTTGATAACAAAGATTTTAAACGAGGAATTTTGTTTTTCTCATACTTCACACCTTCAGCCTGGATTTGTATATTGGATTACAAAAAAGGAAACAGATGCAAATACAATGGTACAAAACTGCCTGCGGTAAGATAATAAAGAGAGGAGTGGAAGGGTGTCTGGAAGCAGACCATTGGACAAAGCTGTGACTCATGCAAACTGGCCCTGGCTAATGAAAATATTCCAGGAGTTTGTCGTTTTTTCCTTGCGAAGGCAAAAAGCTTGAGGGGCTGAATTAAAGCTTAATTATGTAGCTATGTCGCAGGCAATTAGTCAAATTAGGCATTTTATCGAATGCCAAGGCAGATAGTCAAATTTGGACAGTTCACGAAATTTCGTAAATCTACAGCAAACAGCTCACACGTTTTGAATGTTTTGGTAAAAATAACCCATCAAATCTGCGAACTCTCCTTGTTTCTTTATCTTCAAATTCTTATGATACATTCAAAAGTTAAAATTGTAGGAATTTTGTGTCCTATGATGTACTGAAAATTTCAAGGTAAATGCTCATTTAAAAGCTAAAAAGAGCTCAAAATATTATTGTATGATGCGCTTTTTTACAGAGAATCCTTTTATGTGAGGAATTAATAATTTTGTCTAAAATTAGGCAAATAATCAGAATTTCAATCCAAGTGCAAATATCTGATTTTTTGACCGTTTGCCTGAAAATGCCTGATTGTACTACTTGCTTGCGACAGCTACAGGGCGTTTAAAAATTATCAGAACAGGCCCACCAAGAGGTTGATTTGAGACCTCTTAAATCGTTTCTCTTTAACCATTGTTATTTGAAGGTCGGGATTTTGAGGTATTACTGTACTTCTTTTTTAATTTCACCATAAATATGATGACTGATGAACCAATGACTTGGTATCTCTGTCTTGCTTGATTTTAGGGTAGATGAAGCTATGGCAAAAGCCAAGGAACTCGGTCTTGTAAAGGAGGAAAAACAATGTTTTGGAATCAATTTCACAGAAGTCAAACCAAAAATTGAAAATTTTATTCCAGAGCCCTCAGTGAAGAAGATTGCTGTCTCCGTCACTCATGTAATAAGATGCTATTTCATTCTCTCTATTCTTCATTCGCCACTTTTGATTTTTAGAAACCTCTATCATTCATGCCAATCTCTGCGTAGAGAGAGAAAAATCAACCTCTCTCTAGATCTTGTGTAACAAGATAGATACAATCAAGTGGTTTGAAATCGACTCAACTCCAAAAATTTCAAAAATTGGTTTTACTGACCTCTTTTGTTAGAAGCCTATTAGATAACAGGAGGAAAAACAGGGAAAACCCTCTTTGAAAACAATTTTACTGCTCTTACAGAAATGGGAGGAGAGTTAGTCATTTGTTTGCTGCGTTATAGATGAAGATCGAATCATGTTGAAGGTGATTTCAATCATGCAGTTGGAAAACGCGCCATCCTCGTTTTTCTGAAACTCTTCTCCCAATCTTTTTCTATCACACTTGAATATTTTAATCACCTCTCTTCCACCATAATTTCAGGCTCTACTTGCCTTTTTTATGGTGACATCAGAGACTACAAATGTGTTGTTGTCAAAGAGGCTATCTTAAAAATTAGGTGGCTTGTTTCAAATTACAAGATTCAATAGACCACCAGACAAGCTTCGAATTTGAGCATTATTATTAGTGTTTTCTCATCACGGATAACATGATTTCCGCAAAGAAAATCATTAAAAGTAACTCCTAAGAAAGTTATTAAAGTTTTTCAATACCTAAATTCAAACTTCCCTTTAACAAAAAAATGATAATGTAGATTTAAATCGCACACTTAACATTACCGGAACAGTCTCTGCTGTATGAAAATATGGCAACGTCAATCTCGACAAGCCGGTTCAGCTGTTGCTCGTTGTTTATTTTGTGAACTGCATAAGGCAGGGAAGGAACGCTGCTGGATTAAAAAGTGCACCAAAATAGTTGTACCGTGTGATTTGATTCATGCAGACTCTGGTTTTTCTTGTGAGCAGGAAATTCCAATTTCTTGTAACCAGTGCTAAATAAAACCATCAGTATCTTGGTTAGGAATTGATTACTGTAATTCTCGTCGCATAAGTAGTATTTTACATGAAATTTTGAAGAGTGTTACATGTATCAGAATGCTTAACTTCGCAGCATATCATCAGATGAAATGAAAATGGATGTGGGGAATACAATGGGTCTCGCACAAACATTTTGGCCGGATGTAGCTAATGAGCGGAATAAAATCAGATCAACTTTTGTGTTAAAATCAAGATGCTGTGAAAAGCATCAAAATTGCAGTTGAAACTTTTAAAAAAGTCATCCACAAGCATTTCATTTATTGAAAGTGGTATTTGATTAACATCCATTGACAAATTGTGCTTTCATGAAAATGTAGAGGTGCATAGTTCCTCTCTGACCATCTTCAAGATAAAAAGTCAGTCTTACTGCGGTAGAATGGTTGGATAATTCCACAAGAATGAAAAGTATTGAACATAATGTTTTAAGCTTATAGATTCTAAAGTTTTGTTTACTGTTTCTTTTTGATAGATCGATGATCCATCTCACTTCTGGGTTGTTTACAACACTCCCGTTATGAAAAAGATGTTGAAAGTCGTCACAGATCTTCTAAACGCTCCTGGAAATTTAGGAAGTCCTAAGAATGTGATAAAAGGCAACATGTACGCTGTTAGATTCCATGATGATGATTCCATGTGTTACTATAGAGCTCGAGTTATGGAAGCTAAGCCAAAATCTATTAAGGGCAAAGCTAACTTCATGTACAAAGTAAGTTCTGTCTTTCTTTTTTCATTTTAATCAAGTGTGTTTGCCCAAGCAAATTCAAGATACAAAATAAATATCCAAAAAAATATTTCTAATCAAGATCCAAATCTTGGGTGCGATTCACCATGAGCACATTAAGATTCAATTAGATTTCCAGAAATTATTCTGAAAATAAATTCCATAGCATTCAAAGATCTGGAATAACCAATTTTATCAAAAGCAGCGTAAGATTTTCTTGAAACGTTGTGGCTCGGAGCAGCTCGCATCACCTGCCGCGCTTTCGCTCTTGAGAAAAATGAACTATTTTAGCTCCTAACTTTCGACTCCATCAAGTCTGTACTCTGAATTTTTGCATTCAGATACCTCACAGTATGATTGACCACAAGTCAAAATTTTGTATGTTTTAATTTACCCTTTTTTGAGATATATCAGTTTTTGACTTGACAATGTTTTTACAAACAAATTTGAAGTTATGTCAAACTGTGTTACGTATAAGTAAAAAGTGCATTAAAGGAGCTTTTCATTGGTATCAGAACAGTTTGGCTCGGATCAACCATTCCAAAGTTACAGACTCCTAAAGGTGCTAATGTCTGTCAATGTGACCGAACTTTAAATCTCAACAAAAGTTGACAGAGGCATCCTAAAAGATTAAAATCTACACTTTTTGACTTAGCTCAGTGAACAGAAGGAGTGTGCCAAATTTCATCAAATTCTAAAGGGGTCAGGTCAAATCACTGGTCTGATTTGACGTGGAATGACCTGAAAACTACCGAACAAAAACGAGTAAGGTCGGTCGCACCTATTATATCGACAGTGATACTCCCAAACCACGTATCTTGGTTTACAATGGTGCAGACTTTCTGTCATGCTTTATTTTCTCTTTAGATAACTAGTCAACGCAATTTCTTGAAAACTTCCTTCATTTTTCTTCTCTACTTATCAGCAGAATATTCCCTAAAAATTTCAAACTATGTAGTCTGTAGCTGTGTTGTCTTATTTTTTGGCAAAAAAATAAAATAAGAGTGGAAATTTTGAAATGCTGCAATGGAGGTACGTGATTTCACACTTTGTCTATCAATGTGTTTAGTAATGACTGTAATAAAAGGAAACTCCGATGCATGGTTGCATGATGAAGAGGACTTTATCTTGGATTCTGCTCAGTGCTCAGCGCAGTCATAATGAACATGACTGATTTAACGATAGGAGTGGGAAAACTGGCATGAAATTTTTCAGAAAAACACGCCTTATCCTCTAATTTTAATGTTTCAGGTCTTTTTTATTGACTTTGGAAATACAATGGAAGTCAGTCGAGATGATGTGATGGAATTTACTCCAAAAATAAACCAAAAACTAGCAGAGATGAAAATAGATCAAACCATCGAGGAACTTCCCGAACTAGCCATCCAGTGTTCTTTATCTGAAATAAAACCATCTCAGATAAGAGGAGGTGATTGGACTAAAGATGCTACCAGGCGTTTTATCGATCTGGCGCTCAACGATCATTTCATGGCACATGTAACTTTCGCAACTTTTTACCTTAATAGTTTCATAGTGTAAAGGGTAGAGATTGTTCTAGAATCATCAAGATTAGTATACAGGGTTTTTTTTTTAAAAACCTCTGTCAATATCTGATGTCAGGTTAATCATTTACTAATTATCCCTGTTGACATCCAACAATCTGTAGGACTCACTTATCATTTGTTCACACTGTTTGCTTCAATTAACGTGTGGTTTTTTTTTTTTTTTTTTTTTTTTTTTTTTTTTCCTTTCCTTTTTCTTTTTCTAAAAACTGAAGAAACCCAAAATTACATCCTACTTAGTAATTGGGTCAATTCCTACTCGCAAGAAAGTGATCAAGAGCTATTATGTATAGAAAAGTACAGAAACCTATTTGAATAAATATGATGTCCATCATTCTAGATATAACCTGTCTTAGGTTGTACCTAGAAGGAAAATTGGGTACTAAAGCTCACCTCTCATCTCATGCTAGAGTGTATTTTTTCCTCTCAGTGTTACTTTATATTTATTAGAGTTTAAGTTTATGTGCATCCTAAGCTTGCATATTATTTGATAACCAAAAGCATTTATTTCTCTAAATGACAAAAATCTCTCTCATCCCTATCATCCGTGATACCTTCCAATCCAGGAGGAAAAACCTGAACACCCATTAGAATATAAAGTCGATGTCAAAATCTAAGTCATCATTATTACAAGCTATTTATTGTTCTCATTCCTTCCCTGATTTTAGATCTATTCTATTGTTTATGGGATTGTCTCCGTTGAGCTGTACAGGCCAGTGAGCCTTGAAAAACAAACAATCGGCAAAACAATCAACAATATTTTAATTGAAGAAGGGTTTGCAGAAAAATGCGAAGAAAGCTTTCAGTCTATGGTAAGTCCTTTTTACTCTTCCTTTTACATTCAACAATGGAAGTTCTCAGTAGAGAAGGTGCGAATTTAAAATTATAAAATGTATTTTTTCATCGAAATTTCGAGTCGAATATGATTCATACAACTAAATTTATTGAAACAAATGTATTTTTCTCCACTTCTTCTCTGATTTTGAATCCATTTTATTGTATATGGGGTCGTCTCTGTTGAGCTGCAAAGCCGAGATCTCAGGAAACAAACAATCATCAGTATTTTAATTGAGGAAGAGCAAAGACTGTAACAGCAACAATACTAATGATACCCCTAAGTTACGCCGTTTTATTACAAAGGGATTCAAATATCTGCCTCTTCATCCATAAGTATCTAACAATAAAATAATAAGCAGAAGAGACTACTATTTTCAAGGCATTTTTTACGGTTTCAAAATATTTTTGTGCATCTTTGAGCGTACTTGAAATTTTTTGAAAAGTCTTCAAAGCTTTGAATCCCACTGACGAGAACTATTTAAGAAATCCTTGATTTTGGTCAATCAAAAGATGTCAAGAACTCTGAGAATGAAAAAAGAGGTGGTAAGAATTGTTGGAAAAAATTGTTTAATTGATAAAATTTAAATGATAAGTGTGATTCAATGAAGTTTTGGTAATGAGAGAGACATATTATAATTTTGTTAAAACTCATAGGTTCGCATGAAATTTCACTTTTCACCCCTGTTCTTAGCTGTGATAACTTCCAACCATTTCCAGAGAGAAAGCTACAAATAGTAGAACTTACGGCTAAATTACTTTTGCTCTTTATTTTTTCGGAGGAAAGTTCAAGAGCAATTCACACAGGTCAGTCATTCCCGTAGTCAAGGTGTGAGACCTTATCGCGCATTTTGGCGGAAAGTTTAAATGATACACTGCTTGCAGTTGAGTGAGGGCTGGGCAGAGGATTGGATTCCACAAAGATGCATAATAACTGACCTGCATGGATTGATTTTGGGGAAATGTTTCCAAAATTTATCAACAGCATGAAAGAACTGAAGTGAAATTTTTTGAATTCATTTGTCCAATGGTTTTCCTGTAGTAAAATAAATTGTCTCAAAAAATGTGTTCATGATGGTGGGAATCCGTTTTATTCTTCTAATTTTATATGTTTTGAAGTGTCAGAGAAACTAGTGGTGTATCCGTCCACAATGAATAAATTCAAATCCCTTTAAAAGATTAGTAAATTTCCAAAAATTTGAATTTTTTTTTTTTTTTACTAATTTCTTTTGGTTTCAAAGGTATTTGCAGTATGTAGTATGTCTATATGCGCTGCTTATATGATGAACCTTGGGTTGAAAACAAAACTTGGAAGTTTTCATTGAGGATAGGTAACGAAAAAAAAATGTTTTTTTGTAGTACCGTTTTTATCTCATTAAGGAAGAATTTTAAAAGCTGAGATATTAGTGATAACTACTGCAACTATAATCGTTCGTTTGATTATTGTTTTTCAGATGGACCACTTCAGGCGCATTAGTCTAGACGAGAATGAAACATCATACGCAGTGGATGATACAATGTCTGCACCTTACCATAAACTGTGGGAAGGTCCTCCAGAAGTCAAATTAGACCTCAGTCATAATCGCAGAGTGAGACAGGTAATGTAATAAGCCACTTTAGATGGAAAGTAGGGCTCTGGATGTGAGAGAGGGTGTGTATGTGTGCGTGCAACTCTCCAAATCCTTGGAAGTGTAATAAGTCCAGTATTTGAGTGTGGATCAGTGTCTATTTCACCGACTGACTTACATCTGAAAAACTTGCTTTGGCATTTGAAAATTCACGGCACCTGTCGCTAAATATCACCCAAATAATTGATAAAATCTTCATTAAAACTGTTTCTTTGCTATTTGAATTTTCATGCTTAAACACATATGTGTCCAATGTGTAGGGTTACCATCAAAAATTTGATGCCCGGAAAAGTTTTAGTTTTGTTTTTCAGTATAGTCAGTCGTTGTTTTCATGATTTTTTATGGAACATGACAGTTTTTTGGTGTTTTTTTTGCACCTATCTATTTAAATTTATACGCATCCTTGACGCAACTTCTCTTTTAGACATGTGTTTCTGCATACCACCAGTGATACAAGAACAAATATTTGAAGTGCTTCAATGATGCGCTTGTACCTAAATATTTTATCAAGCACAGAAGAGCTGTCATTTTTTTGCAAAAAAACCGTAAAACCGCTATTCAACTGAATTGAATAACAAGAATGGAACTTTTCTGTGAATCCAAATTTTGATAGAATTCTCAGAGATTGGATACTTGAGTGCTGAAGAGACAGTTTCTTGGAGGTACAAGGTACCATCCTTGGCCCTTGAGGGGGAAGAAAATGCTCCTTGATGGGGCAGGTCCTTTTTGAATAAAGTTTGAACTTGGGTATGTTCGTGGTCATGACGCATATTCATTTATTCACAGTTTCTTTGATAGTTTGGTTTTGCAAACCGTGACACAAACCTTGAAAATTATAGTACACCAAGTTTAAACAAGAAGAAAAATCCAAGATGAATATGTTGGAAAAGCGTGCCGAATAACTGAAATGTTTGACACATACCTACTATTTTCATGTCATTTCTGTCATTGCTATTTGCATCAATTTGTACCTTTTGCTAAATTTGGAAGAAAATGTTGATTCATGAACGTTAAATTTAAATTGATTTTAAAGATTCCGTCCAATTATCTTGTTTAAGGCTGATATACAGCATTTGCGCATGACCGCAATTTGTGGCGAACTGCCGTGTATCAGCTTAAAATTATGATAATTGGACGGAATTTTAGTGTGTTTTCATCATAATTTCGTCCGGGAACTAATTTTCATCGATTTGATGGCCGAATCAGCTGCCTAAAAAGCAGGTCATTTTTGGAAGGTTTGATGAGAAATTCCTTCAATTATCGACTCTCAGGAAATCACCACATGGCTAAGATTGGTAGTATAGGTGCTCAAGTGCTTAAAATAATCGTATTAAAGAAACTGAGGCATTAAACTATTGAGTTAATATCTTATCAATAATATAATGGGATTTACTACCGGTGATCTAGCTATTATAACCCCAAAATACTTGTGAATCGCCTTTTTTATCCAGGATTTTGACACAATTTTTTTTGGCTTAAATGACTCAAGAGACACTGTAGTTCAAGAATCTACAGAGTTTTCGATCGTGGCAGATAAAACAATTTAAACTTGTTCAGGTACACCGTGTATTCTATGGGGTGCCGCTGCTATCCGACTCTTGCCTTTAGGTCAAAATTCTTAGAATGAAGCCCCATTCAAAAGACCAATTTTTTGTAATTTTGTCCCAATTTTTGCTCGGTTACCTAATTTAATGGATTGTAAAATTCTGAGGTGAATGATATTAATTATAATTAGCATTTCTTATTTTTTCCTTTCTTTCATTGTTTGCGTTGAGAAATTGTGTTGAGTTAATCACGTTGAGTTAATCGCGTTAGGTTAATCGCTTTGGATTTCAAACTGTAACTTCTCTTCTATTTGGCAAATTTTTACAAATGAGGTCTCTTTTTATTTGTATTTTAACGGAGGGTAAGGAAACACTTGCTAAATAGATAGAAAACTATTTTTGTGAAAATTTGGTGGATTTGGCGTCACGGTGAATGGTTAATCGGGCGTGAAAGATGGAGAAAGTGAAAGAAGATAGATGGTCGGCCTTTTGTTCTCGTGGTTGAAACGGAGCACCCAAAGCAATATCGGGAGATAACTGCAGTGGTTTAAGTGGATTTCTGCACGGGCCACGGTTAGCACATGGTCTAATGAGTCACAAGGTTCATCGCAGATTGCACTTAAAGCGCAAGATGCCAAAAAACCGGGTGCAAGTAAAAAAATCTTTGGACGGCCCGTTAAATAGCATGGATTGATCGTTGTGCTGTACTATGGTAGAACCGAGTGATTTCAAAAAGCGAACCCTACTGGCATGCTTAAAAATTATAAGTCAACATGAACAACAACAACAACATCACCACCACCAACAACAACATCACTAACAACAACAGCAGTAGTAACAACTACAACAAAAACAGTATAAAAACAAACTGCAATACTTGAGTTCAATATGTCCAAATAAGATACTTTTTCCCTTAATCTTGTGCAGAAAATTTCCAATATTTCGATGATCTTGTTACTTACATAAAATTTCAGCCACATTTTTTCCTGAAATGCATGGATGTCTATGAAATATGCAATGATGAAACAAAGAATGTCCATGTAGAGATGTAGTAACTTCCCGATCACGACTTCCATTAGCTACCCAAGTAGATCTAATAAGGGTCGCCAGGGTCTGGGAATCCTGGAAAGTCTGGGAATTTTTGTCGACGTAGGAAATTTCGTGAGTAACGTGTCAACTTAGCATTTTCAGCCAATGCCATCCAGGAGAGCGTAAACAATCCTGGAATGCCTTTTTCTATGATTTGTATCTCGAGAAGTGGAATTTTCGAAACACGAAGTTCAAGTAAAAAAATCAAGAAGCTGAGCAGGCTCGTGTTTTAAATCGGATCTTTTTATTTGTGTTTTGCTTCAAATGTGTTTTTGAATTAAATTATATTCCGGAGTGTTTTTAAATTGTGAACGATTCTGCTTGAACTTGGATCATAGTGGCACCAGCGTGAACCCATGAGGTAAGCAGATACTTGATAGCTTATTGCTTGGATCTCACCCACCTAATAGCATTTTTTAAGGCCTTGTGGTTTTTTTGGTTGCTTTAATCATTTTAATTTTACTAGAAGTTTCATTCTTTTTTTTATATTGGACCAAATTCAGTAGAAATAAACAAGACAAAAACACGTTTAAAAAGATGTGACATAACAAGGTTGCAACTGTCAACAGGCGCTCTGCAACCTCCAAGAACACTTTGCGGAAATAAAAAAACCTGGTAAATGATCTAAAATTTTGTAGACAGCAGGGCTCATTCAAAAGTTATTTTGCTAAAACGAATTTAGTGATGCAATGTTAAGGTTGAATCCAATGAAAGCTGCAATGCAATATCTGTAAAACTTTCCAGATCAGCATGTACATTCTTTCCACCATTTCAAGTAATCTAGTTAATTCTCCACTCTTAAGGATTAAGAATTTCGTCTTATTTCATCCTTTGGCTAACAAAAGGACGTAATTACACTTAGAGATGAGCCAGGGAAAGTATTGAGTCGAATGGACGACAGGGTTCATTGTGGAATGTAGTTATGCCCTCATGTCAGGAGGGCTACGATTCATCTTTTTCCTTGCTTGTTTGCTGAGCTTGGTCCTATAGATCTTGTATCATAGTAGAATTGTTGGATTTTTTTACTTGATTACCGATTTATCTATGCCAGGTGAACCCTTGAACAGAATCCAAGAACAATAAACACAGGAAGAATTAACAGCAAAGAAAAGTATATTAACTCAGTACAATTGAAGGTCGTATCAAACTTACAGAGAAAGGAGAACAGGCAAACCAACTGAAATTTCAAGATAACATCTATGTATTTTTGTTGACGAGAAAGGAGATCATGAGCCTTGGCGATGAGGATATGAGGAAGAGCAAGAATATTAAAGTTGTGAACCATATGAATTTCAGCTTTCCAAGAGTATCTCTACATTTAGAAAATCCTGACGGAAAAGAGAAAACTTTACAGAATTCACTGTAGAACACAATGGTCAAGTTCACTTACAATGCACCCGCTTATTATTGCTTAATTATCACTTAATCACTGCTTATTATCACTTAATTTTCAACTGAATTATCCAGCGAAGGAAAGTGCAAACCACCTGAGTTGGGAACTGTATTAATTGAATGACTCTAGAAGTGAAGTTAATTCAAGTTACAGGATAATCAATTTTTGCTTTTTTGCTAATTTTGGTGAAAGTATCACAAAGAATGGAAAATTGGTAATACTGCTCAGAATGTCCACGCTCTGCATACGCATGATGTCGTGAAGTTCTATATTTTATTATTCAGCGCATGCTTTCAGTTTTAAGTTCTTAGTTTTTGCTCTGTAAATAATCTTAACTTCTGATGATTTTTGGACCGGTTTTTTTTTTCATATGCTACCAAATTTTCAAATGTTTCCATTTTGGTTTTTCTCTTCTCTAATTGGGAACTAGCCCAACTGCATTTACCGCTCTCTAATTTTCTCTCATGTTTTATTTTTAATAGAGAACTAAACTTCTTCATGCCTTTGAACTTTCTGTGAATTTACACTAGATTAAGAATAGCTTCATCATAAAATGTCAAGTTTTAATGTCGTTCTGTTTTCTGTTTAATTAATAAAACATCAGAGAAAAGTGGGCAGCGGCTGATGTAGTTACGTCAATTTTAGTTAAGTCTAATTCCAACTGCCATCTGTAAGATAGACCTCAGCAGCAAAACACTCAAAATCAATGTATTGAAACCACTGTTCAGATGAGTGTTATGAAAACATTTTGCCACGAATAACAAAAAAGTAAAATTGAACTTAAGTTTTGAAAGATGAACGCTAACATTTCAAAAGCTGTGGCTTTAAAAGAAAACTATCAAAAGCTATATTTTCTCTATTGGTAAAAAATTGAATTGAACCTGATCCATTCCTCCTGAGAGTATTTTCTGTTAAAAATTGAGTCATTGACTCGATGGAACAAGAGTTGTGGTTCTGATAAATTGGACTACATTTTGCAATTAGAAACCATGATTTCTGGCTCAACATAAAAAGAAAGTATGTACCATCAATATCCGTATAGACGTATGTGGTTTCACGAATGAGCCAGACATTGTAGTTCCCAATTGCAAATTGTAGTCCAATTATCCTGTATGTGCTGTAGACATGTACTGCGGTCCCTTGTCCATGGACAGTCACCATGTTACTCTCTTAAGCTTTTGTATTTTTCCAAATCCAAGCTTTCTTATCAAACTTTTGGCCAAGGTTGGAGATTCATTTACATAGTTAATCTTAGAAGTTCTTGTTCAAAAGTTGACATCATGGAATTTCTTCCTTTTTTATTTATTTATTCATGTGATGAGATTTTTGTTTCTGCCCCCATTTGTTCTTAAAAGTTAGGCAATGCGACAGGTCTCTAAAATAGTTAACAAATTAATTCGGTTTCTAAACTAAAAGTAATTTTCAAATTCATCCTCTTTACATCACTGGGCTACGAAAGAGACTTCGTTATTGCTAAAAAATCACCACAGAAGTAATCAGGTATTGACGGTGTAAGTCGGCAATCTAATAACTCGGTTTGTGATGTAGCAGACTTCCTGTCATACTTTATTTTATAAACGGAAAACTACTTAACGGCAATTCTTTGAAACTGCCGTGATTTTTCTTCTCTGTTCAAAGAAAATTCTGCATAAACTTCAAGGAATGATGTCAATTTGTTCTCTTCTAAAAAAAATAACGTAGAGGCGGAGTTTTTCAGACACCGCAAACGAGTTATGTTATTGCCGACTTACACCATCCATATGCTTTGAGGAAGGCTCTAAAAGCTGTTGAAAGCTACTAAAATAGGCTAATTACAGTCGTATCCTGTTATAATACTTTTGAAGGGGAACCAATAATAGAACGCTGTTTCTGGAAAAACGTTGATTCAAAGTTATGTTTTCACACGCTATTTAAAAAAAAAATGGGGCGAAACAAATTATGTCCAGAAGCCCCTCAAGAACTTAATTATTCTGTGTTCATTTTGAGAATTCGACTGAGAATTCATGGCGGCTCGATAATCTTTAATTTTATTCTAATTGAACTATCTTGATTAGCCTATCTTTGCTGAGAGTAGAAACTTTCAAGAAGTAAGATCCAGATAGGTATGGCCTTGTCTCCACAAGATGTTTCACAGGATTTGTCCCTGGGAAAAATTCCATTTACGAAGTTGGGAAAAATATTGAGTTAATCAATATTTTTCCCAGTACCAAGTTTGGTCCTTGCACCCCTAGGACCCACTGAGAGAGGAAGAATAAGTGAAAATGAATTGTGCAATATTTTGTTGATTACTCCATTGTTCATGTTTGTTTCGTTAAAATAATGTGTCTAATTGTCGATTGAGTTTAATTATTATTTTAATCCCGGTTAAATACTCGACTTTAACTAATTTATCTTCCCGCGCAAACTAGTCGCAGGACTGTATGAGCCCCGTTCAGTGGAGACGGTAACTGAGAAAAATCCTACAAGTTTCATTCCTGCGATTCGAACTAGGGATAAATCCCATGAAAACGTCCTGTGGAGACAAGGCCTATGTGTGCATAACCGAGAGTTTCCTCCGTTTTCCCAAGCTTTGCTGAGCGAGCTGATTATTAGAATCCATAGTCAAAGAAGACATAAGGAGTATGGAGCGATCCTATTGGTTGGAACGTATAGTTGGCATAGACCAAGGGAGAAAATGATGGACTACCTAAAGGGTTTCCTGTAGGTTGCCATTAGTTAATCTATCACCTACCTCCTTTGTCCATCGCAACCACCCGCTTACATAAACAGGATCCTGCCATATCATTATCTTTTCTTTGTCTAATGCTTTGTCTACCAATTTCAACATTCAGCCCAGTATCTATATGTAACCAGGTCTTTTCAGTCATGTAGTATGTGCTTAACTTGATGGAAGTTTTTATGGACTTACCTTTTTTTTCCCCTTGAAATTTAGCATTTGGCTCTTCTCTTAATATTAATCTCCTCTAACTGATAAGAAAAATAGTTTTCTAAAAAAAACTGTCCAGTCTTATTCCCGCACTTGCTCTCTCTTGCTTTTGGTTTCACTATGTACTCACTGAATTTGATCAGTCTGCTTTAACCTCAAATTTTGATTGTTTAGCTCTGTTTTTTCAGAAAAATGTGTTCAAATTTAAGTTTTTTTGGAATAGGCATTCCTAGCTCTTTCATTTGATTTTGACTTTAGAAATTTGATTTATTTTTTTTTCTCTCTTGCCTCTATCTAGTTAAAATGCTATGCTTATTAAATATGCATTCAATTTAGCTGCTTTGTTTTTTTTTCCAATATCATAGTTTGATTTCATCCTGCTTGTTTAATCTATATTAATTTTACAATATTTTTCAACATTAGTTTAATTGAGACTCAGAGTGCAAGAAGGGCAATCAATTGAAATTTTTCAGAATCTTCGCTAATATTTCATTCATTGTAAAGAAAGTGAATGCATGCATTTCATTGAAATTCTTACGAAATATTGGGCATGATTCTACTAAGTTCTATTGAAAAAAATTTAGGAAATATCGCCCATCAGATGCTTTTCTAATTGTAAGACGTGAATTAGAGACAGAAGTTCTAAAACTCAGCAACCGAGAAATGCCCTTCTCGCAACCAGCACTTCAGTGGCAATAAGAACTCAATTTTTTTTTAAACATCTCATGGTTTTTTGGGTGGCGGTTGAACATTTTGTCACCTTAGCGGAAACCCAAGCCGAGCTTATTAATTAGCTGTGTTTTTTTTCTGTTTCCTATTATGAGTTCATAAATGGACTGCTAGACAGGGTCGTAATTAAAGCACCTCGAGACATGTTTTTCTCACTTTAATTCAGAAAACATGCCGTGTGTTGAAGTGTCTAAAATTCACTTAAGTGAAAACTAGTGTTTTTTAAGTTTACATGAGAATCAATAAATTTAAATTTTTAGCTCTTGAAAAATCGAAATCCGCTACATTTTGCCATTCAGAACTGCTGTTTCTGGCTCATTCAGAAAAGCTTCTATTTGCATAGGAAAACTTATGGCTAACAAGATGTTTCTAAAATGAGCCAGAAATTGTGGTTCACTGCAACACAATGTAGTTCAAATTAGCCATCGAAAGCAAACTGACATGTTCCGAATACAGTAGTGTGCAGTTTGATAAAGGTGTCCTTTCTCCTCTGATACTCGGTATTTTTCGAGTTATTAAGTTTCATTCAATACTCCAACATGATTTGTTTAATGGTAAAGCACACTGAAACTAGTTAAATAGACCAGTGCCAGATACGACTTAGGTTGACTTGAGTTTTTAAACAAAATTTGGACTTCCGAATACAGTGGACACCAATCCCTTTCAAATGGGTGGAATTTTGAAATTATCAATGCGTCCACCTGAGATATTTAGATAAGGAGCTTAACTCTCTATCTAAATTGCGCTCATTAACTTTTTTGATAAACTTATCGACTTGATCTGTGGGCTTGCAAGGAGCCTCAGCTCAGCGAGAACGAGGACTCTGGTCGAGAGCCTCGGCTCGACCACACCTCTCTCTCTTGTTTTCTGGACTCTGGACTTTGCTGGACTTACGCTTTTTGGAACATGGAACCCCGGACAACTTGGGTGAATCGTTGTAAAACTTTTCTTTTCCCTTCTGGAATTTTGTCATTTTAGACGACTTCAACTTTTTTGACTAAAATTCTATGCGTCGATTTTTTTTTATTGTTATGTGTGCTCATGATTTCTTGTGTTTTTCTGAAAGTTCCTAGTAAATTAGTTAATCAATTCCGATTCAAAGAATGAAAACTTTCGTGTAAATTTAAGTTCTTCTCAAACTTCTACTCCTTCTCACAGTCGAAATCCAAGTATTTCTACAAATTTTTCTTTGACTAATTTATCAAAACTCACTCGTAAAACGCTTAAAATTTAGATTCTCCTTTTCTCAATACGCAATTTGTAAATTCAACTTTATATCCGAAAATTCTCACGCCGGAAGCTACAAAAATAGTTTGCGTTCGGAAACAATTGTTTTAACTTCAGATTTTGAAGATTCAGACCTTTCAGATTCTTTGACTATAGACGAAATCATGGCCACACACGCCCTTCTTAAGAGAAACTCCCAATTATTGGGCTTCAAAATTTAGTAGTGCATCCTCATGTATTCTACCAAAACTCCTTTTTTTTTCAGTATTAAACTTTAAATGTTTTATATAATTCGAAGTTCTATTATGAGCCAGCAATTCATTGATGAATCAAAAATGATTCATTTAATTCCTTGCCTTTTGCAGGAAAATATAATTTATGGAAAAAACCTGTCCCATATTTTTATTAGTATTCTTAGAAATACAGTAATGGGTTTTCTTTGAAGGAAATTTTCACCTGATCAAGTAACCGTATCAGAATGCTATGTGCACGGCAGAAAATTTAATTCCGTTCAGATCCCATAGTTAGAGTGAGCGCTCCATCTTAATAATTCCTCTAGCATTTACACTAGTAGTTCACTGAGTGAGAATAGTGATAAATTACTTAAATTAAAAGAGGCAAATGATTTATTTAATCAACTTTTCGAAGTTGAAAGCGAAAGTAGTTCACTGAGTGAGAATTTCGCAATAAATCTTAATAATTCATGCAGGGTTCAGGTAGTTCACTGAGTGAGAACTGTCCCATAAATGCATAATAATCCCATGAGTTCAGGTAGTTCACTGAGTGAGAACTGCTCTAAGGATTATATTAAAATTAACTCCAGTAAAACTAGTAGTTCACTGAGTGAGAATAGTATGGAGATTTATAAGAGACCTTCGGTAGTTCACTGAGTGAGAACGTCGGTACTCTTCTTTTATAGTGGCGGTAAATCAAGTAGTTCACTGAGTGAGAATTGTACGCCACAGGGGACTTTTTTAAAAGGTTTTAATTAAATTCCATAAAGGCTTTTAATGCCATTGAATTGGATTCAGCTGCTTGAGTACAGACTGATTTCTAGAAATTAGTAGACACCCTAAGTGGTGATATTTTTTGTAAGAATAAGGACCAATTTTTCAATGAAAATTTTAATTTCATGCCTTCAAATAAATTTATTTCTTTAAATTAAATATTTGCAGTGCCTAAAACTTTTTTTGTTATATTTCTAAAACAAATTTCTTTGATAATTCAAATATTAAATTGAATATTGATGTAATTTTTGATCCTACTATCCGTAATCTTGCGCGCGACATGTCATGCAATGCCAAATCTGTTTTTGCCTCTACTAAGCTGAAATTGTTAACAAAAGCCTTTGGCTATTAAGTAAATTCAAAAAATATTATCTGTCGTCTTCCCTATAATTTGCCAAATATCGATAGAATAATCTGCGTAGCATAGTGAATAATTTGAGGGACGCCTCAATAATATTTTCAGTGACTATGCATTTTCAACATTCTTAGTTACAAAGGGAGACGCACATTGAAAAACCGTTAGAACAGTTGATCGCTAAAGATAGGAGAGTAGTGGTGCATTTCAGAAAAGTTAACAAAGTAATTGTCCCAGATCGATTCCCTTTACTAAGGATCGGTAATATTGTTTCTGAATTATAAGAGAATACTTACTTTTCCTACTTTCGACTTTCTTAGCGAATATTTTATCAGCAAAATTTAAGCAAACGCTAGTGATGCTCATGTGCTTTTAACGTGTCTATTCGGTTTCTTTTAAAAAATTCACCCAGTGCTTTCAGCAAAGCTTTACAGAGAATATTTTCAGATTTGTTGTATCATAGATTCCTCATTTGCATCAATGATTTAATTATTTATTGAAATTTTTGTAATGAACGATGAAATAATTTAATCTCCATTTCAAGACTGAAAAATGTCCCGTAATGTTAAAAAACCTCAATTTTCTTGGTTATTTTATTAATGAAAAAGGCTTAGCTCCTTTACAGTCAAATATATGTAGATGCTATTTGAAAGCATAAAACTCCCAAATGTTAAAAAGACATTTGTTCTTTTCTGGGTAGTGTAAATTTTTTTAACGGTCCTTTATTCATAGATTTCTTTTTTTTTTATTTATTTATTTTTTCTAATATTGCTGCGCCTCTGATAGAGCTTACGAATAAGAAATATAACTTTTTTTAGACAAAGCCGATGAAGCTTTTGAAACTTGAGACAATTAGTCGTTTTCCTTTCCTGTTTTAATAAATTTCTTTGATGATTCAGATATCTATCTTTTGAAAGATACGTCATAAATTGTTACAGGAAACTTTTTAAATCATGATTTCTTTTTTTTTAGTAAAAAATCCCCCCCCCCCCTCTTGGTCTGCAACATGTCTAGAATTACGAGGTATTTTAGAGTCGGTCGAACATTTTGACAATTTCTTGCCTCATTACGATATTCAATCATCATAAATTCACTCTCTTGTCTGATCATTTCAGTTTGGAATATTTAGAGATTTCAAAAATTAGAACAGTCGTTTAAATAAATTGGTTCTACATGATTTGATCATCAAATGTAAGACTTATGTAAGTAATAAGATGAAAATCTTTCGGAACTTCGCTGTTTTCAATTTAAAATTGATCAGTAATTCTGATCAAGAGATTCTTAAACGGTCAAATGCTCTAAATAACATTAACTTAATGATTTTAGGCTTACAGCGAAGGAAATACCCTGAGATAAAGGAGTTACGTATTTTTCTAACGGATGATAACACTATGGTCTCATAGGCAATAAAGTACTTAGTAGCTTATCATAATCAGAAACGGTTATTGCTACCCTATGTTTCAACCATTACGTAATTTCATACTTATTTTTTTTTTTTTAATAACTACTCCAAAATGTTCGAAGGACTCTACCAACAATTCAACTTATTCCCTTGAAAAAGACTGAAATTTTTGACTGTGATTTTTGAGTCAAATTTTTCAGTGGACTTATTCTCGAATAAGGATTGTGATAACACAATACGAGGAAGAACTCATTTTTGATTTCCGATTTTCAATCTTCGCTTTCATTCAATTTTTTTAAAAATTTACTTATAATTTTTTTAAACGAATTTTTGATCTTTTTTTTTTTTATAAACAATTTTAGCTTCACGTGGACTTGTTTTTGTTTATTATTTTTTTTTAAGAAACAAGGGTCGTGAGAACACAACGCTAAAATTAGAACCTAATCAAAATTTTTCTTTCTCAATTTCGTCTGGCAAATAGTTCGCTTTCCTTTTTTGAATCGGCAACTTTTGTTGCGTTCCACCGTTTTGTGATGACTCTTAAGGGTTTTGTTAAGTCAGTAACCCTGCTTCTTGGTTGATCGTTCAACTGAAAAAGAAGAACCCGTACAATTCTTTGGCTTCGGAAGGTATCTTCTCGGAATAAGGACTGTGGTGTTGCGTTGATTTCTCTTCTTGAGTCACATCTATCGTTGGGCCTCTAAAGCAACCTGGGAAAGTAAAGAAATTCTCAGGAATTGTGAGGTAATTTCGCTTGCAGCAGTTAGCCAGAAATCAACAAAATCGTAGGAGGGGGGAGGGTAGAAAAAGAATTAGAGTCAGGAAAAATCAGAAGAAGTCTGGGAATCGAAAGATGAAGAAATTATGGAAACTCAGATTTTTTGAAGAATCGTGTAGTTTTTCTCTGAAATTTTCATTATTGATTTATTTTTGCTCTGCTCTCTTAAATTTGCTTAATGTAAGGACACAATCTTTGACAACTCTTGCAATATGGCGTTGGAATTTTATGAAAAATGTATTTTTTATCATCCATTTCTTGACAGGTCTCAAACTCCATCTTGGGGGTTTGTGAATGCTTTGGTCCAATTCTTTAGTATCCCACTCTAAATAACGGGAAAGAGCTGCTTATAACAATACAGGCTACTTTGGTCTTGTTTCTAATTATATATATAATACTTATACACATATATAACTATATATAATTATATATATAATATAACTGCTTTAAATAAAAAAAACCACTGATAACCCATGTCTGAGAAAATGTTCTGTAGCTGTTGAATACTCGTCTAATGCAAGCCAATTTTACATTTCAGGTATATTTGCGCGGTCCCTCTTCTCCGCTAGAGATGAAAATCTATCCCATGAGTCGTAGCTTACTCCGAGCAATTCCCAATATTGAATGGAATTCAATTAATTCAATTCTCTTGGACTCAGAACCTCAAAATCCCTCCGATCGCCTGCTAGTTGCTGGTTTTGTTGGCACGAATGAAGGGGGTGACCATCTAAGCCTCCGAGATACAACCCTAATGCCCAATATTCACGGAATGGTTGGACTGATGTGCCTGCTATTTACACCATTTGCAGAACTGCGAGTCAACAAGCAACGTACTAAAATCACTGGAGCACTTTGCGGGCTAGGTTACAACCCGGTCACAAATGAGTCTTACAATCCCGTGAACGATGTTGAAGTACACTTTGATGCGGAACTCACGCTCACGGATATCGAAATCATCAACAAGATCAGGTTTTGGTTAAATAAGTATTTTTGCAATGCAGGCGGTGAACATTTTCTTGAGGCCATATCAGGTCAGTCGAAAGTGAAAGAGTACTTGATCACCTTGCTAACGAGGAGGCGCAAGTTCCAAAGCTTGGAAACCCCAACTAAAGTGTTCAAATGGAACGCTCTTCCGCGCGAACATGTAATGGTGCCTGGTGACACTTATTCTGGCGAAGCGGACGTTTTTAAACTTCACGCTGGAGTCCATCTCGAGAAAACTGAACCGGAAGAAGCCATAAAGGAAATTCGTAAAAGTTTAATCGAACTTTGGAAAATAGCAACTGTGACTCATGAAAGTACAATTACTAGGGATTCCTCTGGAGCATGCAAACTGTGCAACAATTTAATGTTGAAAAACCGAATTGCCGTGAAACTGCATCTTTCCTTACGAGATCACAGATATAATGAATTCAAGATGTTCGGCATGAATCTAGAAAAGTTCCCAGAAGTTGCGTTTGTGGAACCCTCTCTGCCACAAGGCAGGTCTGGGTCTGAGTCCTACGGCTATGCTGAGGAAAGATTTGAGAGACGTCTATGGAAAGGAAAAACTGGTAAAAGAGAAAACAGAGCTCACTTACTCTACTGAGGCTGGAGTCAACTGCTGACTAGTTGACTGTGGCTAGACCCTATTTGACACAAGTGTACATTTTTCATCCATAAATTGCCATCTGCCAAGGCATATGAGAAATGTAAATTTATTCCAGCCAGAGTCTCCCCTACAAGGGAGTTTTTTTTCATCGCTCTGTGTATTTCTGAAACTACATTCTTTGAAATGATCTCCCTGCAATTGCACACCAAAGAATTAGACTAACAATACGTTAATACGACCATTCAATTTTGTATCGATGAGGCGGTTGATTAGTAAGGAACTTCGTGCTCTTTAATCGCCCCATGTTTCAACAAATAATCAGAACTTCACTGCCAGGTTTGAACAACTGTCATTGAAATTCTCTTCAAGTATTTAATTTTGAAGTGTTGGACTCTCACAAAAATTGTCGGAAGGAAACATTATTAATGGAAATCTTCATTTTCCAATGTTTACCTCCGTACACTCTTACATATTACCCTTTTATGAACTATATATATATTTCTACCTTCACTTTTTTCAAGCATATATTTCTCTAGTTTTTGAACCTAATCTAACGAATCGTACTTGTGCATTAATCTTTTCTTTTTATTTCTTATTTTCTTTTTTCTTTTTTCTAAACAGTTAGGATGTTAATGGTGGAAACTACCTTAAAGAAGATATTTTTAATAGAACGATTTCTGATCTAAAGCGAGACCAGTTTTTGTGCAAATATTTGTATTACCTATACATTCCAAATACTCGGAAGATCTGATTAAATTCTAAACAAAAAGTGCCATGATAAAGTATATGTATTAAAATTACATAGGGTGTTCAAAAAGTTTTGCAAACTTCCGGATTATGAGCGAACGAAAGCAGCTATCGATTTGCTGTTTATGTGTGCTTAAATTAGACGTAATTACCAATATAACAAGACAAAGCTCTAGCTTAAAAAATGACTGAGATACAGGGTTTTGAAAATGACATGTAGCGTGACCGCCTCCAGGATTTTTGGCTACAAATATGTTTATCAAGGGAAAAAAAGTTAAATGAGAATTGAGTGTTTTTATTGAAAAAACTTACAAAATCTTACGGAAATTGACGAACTTCAAGTTTCTTCATCGGATGACACGGATGACTCAACATTCGGCTGTTTTCCGAAGTATTTTCCACCACTTTGAACACAAAGCTTCAGCCGCTCTGTCCAATTCACAAGGATCGTCTTTTTGAAGTCTTCTTGAAGGAGGGTTGTGAAGCATTTTCGAACAGCGGTTTTGATCTAGGCTTTGGAATGGCTCTTTCCTGAGTTAAAGAAATTTCTGAGAGGCACACGGTTTGATTCCATAGCCTAGATCAAAACCGCTGTTCGAAAATGCTTCAAAACCCTCCGTCAAGAAGACTTCAAAAAGACGATCCTTGTGAATTGGACAGAGCAGCTGAAGCTTTGTGTTCAAAGTGGTGGAAAATACTTCGGAAAACAGCCGAATGTTGAGTCATCTGTGTCATCCGATGAAGAAACTTGAAGTTCGTCAATTTCCGTAAGATTTTGTAAGTTTTTTCAATAAAAACACTCAATTCTCATTTAACTTTTTTTCCCTTGATAAACATATTTGTAGCTAAAAATCCGGGAGGCGGTCACACTACATGTCATTTTCAAAACCCTGTATCTCAGTCATTTTTTAAGCTAGAGAGTTGCTCTTTGTCTTGTTTTATTGGTAATTAGGTCTAATTTAAGCACACATAAACAGCAAATCGATAGCTGCTTTCGTTCGCTCAAAATCCGGAAGTGTGCAAAACTCTTTGAACACCCTATGTAATTTTGGTATTTTTAGGTTTGAAGATTTTTGTATATTTAATGACATGTTTCTACTCTCAAACAACAACTTATGTCGCAAGCTATGCACATTTTCAATTTCTAATTTTTTTAAGTTTAATGATTGTTATTTTTATGAGATAAATCTAACAAACTTTTATTTTTAAGGTTTTTGCTTCTTTAATGACTTTTATTCTTCCATCAAACATCTAAACTTTTGTCACAAGCTGTGAATATTTTCGTCTTTGGAGTTTTTTTTTTTTTTCTAAAAGTTTAATCTCTGTTATTTTTTATTAGATAAATCTAATAAATTTATATTTGCTCTAAATGTTCTTTGGTACTCCCACTTATGTGCTAATTTCAAGGTAGGTCTTTGTAACCTTAAAGTGATTCTTAGAGATCATGGTGCAAGATCCACCGCTACATTGCCCTGCTACACAGTCTGTGTCTTTGAGGAACAATAACTGTTGTATTTAGTTCTTCTAAGAAACTGATTTATAATGCACATCAGCATTAATAGTGAGTAGTGAAACATCTTTGCGAGGATTCATCAAAAATGTTTATTAGAAACAACCGTAACAGAAATTCTGATTGACTCGATAGTTCTGCTTTATACATAGAAATTTCTTTGGATTCGTGGTGAAAGGGAAAAAGAGCCTAAAGGGGATATATTAAATTTGACGTAACCACATCAAGGGGCTGATTATCGAAAGTTGAAAACAGCACAATAAGACATCGAAATTCAATATATTGCATGATGAAGAAAGGGCCATGTCTAGCGTTGTTGTGCCAATATAGTTGCAACAATTGGGCCGCAAGGGTGCAGAAAATTCTTGGGAGCGAAACTTTGTCGCACTCACAACCTCCAATTCCACTTTCAGTGAAAAGGTCCAAAGTATGTGTTGAGTCGCAAAATTTTAAAAAAAATCAGTTCGTTCTTCTTTTTTCCTCATTTCTTGTTCTTAAAAACTAAGCAGAATTTTTTTACAACATTTCTCCCATGCACGTACGGACTTCCACATGCCATGCACACTCAAATATTTTTTGCACCCTGGAACTTTATTTCTCTGCCTTTATAAATTGGGGTTTGCACTGTTTGCTGCTGAAAAAACTATAAAAATTAGAAAATATTTTTCTGTTTTTCTCTGAATTTTTGGAACTTTATGGAAGCATTAAATGCGGAATTTTGTGTATGGACGTATTTTCTTTTGCTAATTTGTGTATGCAGCAAAATATTGTCAGGCCTAATTTTGCCCAACAAATCTTGGAAGTGTTAGGAAATCAGTTTAAGCAGCTGTTTATGCTGGAAGAGATGTCAACAGTGAAATTGCAGGAAAGCGTATCTCGGTTTTTCAACGTTGCAAACTTTCTGTCGAATATAATTTTTAAATAGAAATACACTTAATGTCATCTTTCGAAAACTTCCCAATTTTTGCCTCCCTTTATGAAGAATAATCAAAAAAAATTTCAAGCTATAACGTTGGTTTTTCCTTCTTTGCTAAAATATAATTGGAGATTTTGAAACATGCAAACGAGATACAGTTCTTGCAGTTTCATCATTGATACGGCATGATCTTCATTATTTTCGCATCACATGCTTCTCAATGCTTTGAATTTTACTAGTGCTTGTAAAAGCATGACAGACATGAGTAATAAAATAGGACTCGAGCTATGTTTCTAGGAGGCAAGTAAGAGAAAAAGACCACACCTGCAAAGAATGCAGCGTAGAATGAGCCTGACTCTCCAGTTTTTCTGTAACAATCCTCCAATCAGTAAAATCTACAGCATACTAGATCATTACTGATGGGAGGCATTTAAAGAATTTTCCCAAACCTACGCAAAATGTTCGAAGTTCACTAACTCTGGCTGTCTACTAGAAAAGTAGGGTTGCCACAGTCAGGGAACTTTAAAAAGTCAAGGAAAACCTGGTAATGTCAGGGAAAATCACGAAATTGTCAGGGGAAAATTGTTAATTCACCTTTATTAGCTTCCTAGAATAGATTTGACGTTTAGAACAACAAATTTTGACTGAAAACTATTTGAAATTAAGTATTTTTGGCCACAGGAAAATTTAAATGTCAGGCAGCTTTATTCAGATGTATCAGGGAAATGTCAGGGAATTCCATTTACTAAATTTCCTGACAACCCTGGAAAAGGGACCACCATTTACGGAATTAAAATTCTCAGTGAAGTTATTTTTGCTGAGTTGGATCAAAAAATCAGATTTTGAGAACTTAAAAGAAAAATTTCTCTGGTCTCTTTCTCTTCCTAAAGAATGAATTCCGAGCATCTTCATTTATATCTACTTTTACGCAAACAGAGAGAATTTGTAACCTGAACAAGGCTGATACAAATTTTTAATAAATTTCTCGAGACCATTTTCGATTCAGAACCGTTACAATACAGGGTTATGTTTCCTCGCTAAAAGTTCTTAGTATGCTTTTTGATGCTTTAGTATCTGTAACTAAACGAGTTTTTGTGGATTAAGGTGATTCGATGGAGGCCATTTTTTGTGTATATCGCATTGATAGCTCCATAATTTCAGCTACTTGTCATTTTTTTCGAATTTTGAGATCGCACTTCTGTTGTCATGAGACTGAAGAACTCATGTACCAAATTTGACAAAGAAATTCAACTTAATAAAGGCGTGGTTTTTTTAGAGGGAAAATATCGCATTCGATACTGATATCGAAACTGCACTCGCATGCGATATTTTCCCTCTTAAATAACCACGCCTTTATTACGTTGAATTTCTTTGTCAAATTTGGTACATGAGTTCTTAGGTCTCATGATAACAGAAGTGCGATCTCAAAATTCGAAAAAAATGACAAGTAGCTGAAATTATGGAAGAAATGGATTTGATATATTGTACGTCGCTCTGACACAAAAAATGGCCCTCATCGAATTACCTTAAAGTCACTTTTTCAATGAACAGTATGTTGACAGTGGAACTATGAAGACATTTATTTCAATTATGTTTCAGAATTTTAATATTTTGAATTGACTTTATCGTTACAAAAACTATTTTGCCGACCATCTTTTTGTCAGTTCATTTTGGGAGTAGAGCATCTATGATGACTAGGTCCACACCTCAAAATTATAAAATTGTTGTTTCAAGAATTCCTTCGATGATTTTCCTGAGAATGATTCACGGTTTTAATTAATTTTAGTAACAGTAGAGGATGTAAAGTAAGGTGCATTTTAATCACGCGGTTTTGAGCCCTGATCATGGTAGGTAAACACTATAAATCGCTTTTACTCAAAAGTATGTTCTTTGATATGCAAACTTCGAATCATTGCCACTCCAGCATAGTTTCTAACTTCCTAGTGCCAAAATGTTTGTCAAACTTTCTTGTATGTATTTATTCCAACCAATATCAATCTCACATCTTAAGTCAATCTCAAGTTTGTCTGCACTAAGATCCCTTCTCCTGTGGACAGTCACAGATGAAAAAAATTGAGGCTTTTAAAAAATTTTAAAGCCTTCAAGCTAACTACTAAATAAAACAGGAATTAAAGTTAAAAGAAATATTCTCTTTCCTACTCCCTCAAAGAAGTTTGATGTCAACAGACATTCATGAGCCAGCCCTTCTTTCATTATTTTATGTTAATAGCGCGTTGAAAGTTCACAAAAAAAATCAAAATCTTTTGGTGGTTGCTTGACTGGATGATCTCAGATCATTCTCAGGTAAAGTCTACTTTGGGGAATGACTATCGAACAATGGAGGATTGTATTCGGTAGAAATTTCCCAATGCAGCTAAGCATTGATTTTTTCAAAGATCTCTCGAATCTAAGTTTAAGAAAGTTTTAAGAAACCATTCATAGTACTTCATGAAAGGTTTAAGGTTTTCATTAAAATCTGTCCAGAATTTTGCTTTGCAAGAAAGTTTGATGGAAAAGTGTCAAATTTAAAATGTCGGCAAAATTTGAGCTCTATAGCTCTTGAAATACCCGTATAGGTAAGTTTTGTACCCTTTAATCAAAACATTCATTTAGGTAATTTGTATATGTAGTTAAAGTATTTTGAATGCTTCAGTCAACATTGTACAGTTAAAATAATGTTGATGGTTGGGAAAATTTCTGAACTTTCACCCTCTGTTGTAAATATCAATTTAGTTGTTGGGTTTAATCAATCGCTATCCCTTGTTTATCCATTTTCATGACTGCACCCATTTTATTTGATGGACAACGTCTTTCTTTGGCTACAATAAATTTATCGTTACCAAAGTTTTCCACCACTGACAAAAAGTTTATTTCTCATTCCAGGCTTTCTTGCGAGGTCCTGTGTCACCGTTAGAGATGAGAGTTCACCCAATCAGCCAAGGAACAAGGCATGCCAGCTCCAATATTGACTGGAATTCTGTGAATTCGATTCTCCTAGATGCAGAACCTGAGAACTCTAACGATCGTCTGATAGTTGCAGGTTTCGTGAGTACCAGTGAGAATGGTGAACATCTGTCCCTCAGGGAAACCACGCTTATGCCCAACATAGGAGGGCTGGTCGGGATCTTGTGTCTTTTGTTCGCACCCTCTGCAGAACTGCGACTAAACAAATATGAAACTAAAATCACTGGTGCTGTATGTGGTCTCGGTTACGACCCAATCACAAAACGACCCTACAACCCAACTAATGATATTGAAGTGGTTTTTGATGCAGAGTTAGACAATAATGATATAGAGCTAATTAATAACCTTAGATTTTATTTGAACAAGTTTTTCCAAAATATGGGTGGTGATGAATTCAGAGAACTTCTGCCTAAACGGACTCGTGTGAAAGAGCTTTTGCTTGATTTGTTGACACGTAGACGATATTTCCAAAATTTAATGCCCCGTGCAAAAGCTTTCACATGGGGCCGTATGCCATCCAAGAGGCTGATCCCAGTCGATGAGGAACATGCAGATGATACCAAAGTTTTTAAATATCATGCAGGAGTTTTGCTGGAAGAACACGAACCGCCGGAAGTGAGAAATGAAATACGTAGAAATCTTTTAGAACTCTACAAAGTATCAAAAGGTGACATTAAAGATCGTTCTGATGGTGTTTGCAAATTGTGCAATAATGTAGAGTTTAAAAACCGCAAAAAAATTGAGATGCATCTCATGTTACCACATCATAGGCAAAAGGAGAAAAAAATGTTTAAAATGAATTTAGAGAATTTCCCGGAAGTTAGGAATGTGATACCTGCTCTAACGCAAGGCAGGTCTCAAACTGAGTCGTACGGTCAAGTTGGTATGAAATTTGACTGTCCCACACCCCGTGGTCGTGGCAGAGGAAAACAAAAAAGTCGGCACTGGGACACTAATATTCCTGGCCCCAGTAGAAATTAACAGAACAAAGCCCTGTTTCATAAAAAATACTCCATAAACCATCAATATTAGATACACAAATTGGAGGAGGGTACTCAGCAAATGAGGTTCATGTGACTTGACTTCTCTGTGGGTAAAATTATGTTGTTACCAAGCCTTGTTACCTTACATTGATGTCAATCCATAAATTTTTGTAATCATTTTATTGCTTTATGACACTCATTGAGATTTGGTGAACTAAACAGATCGGATGAATAGATTGTATTTTAAAGCTCTAAGTTTGATCGCCTAAAAGTAAATAATAATGCACTAGGAAAGTTTTTATTCATCGATATCATCAAACAATGAGCGAGTTTTTCCTTGCCCTTTTATTCTTAATTTGAGTCTTTTGTTTCATAAATTTTCAATGTACTCTTGAAATGTTTGTCTCAAGTGTAAATTACTATCCATGGATTCAATTTTCTGGAAAAATCCCGAGGAAAATTCCAAATTAGTCTTATTTTTAGATTTAGGATGTAATTTTGTAATATGTACCTTCAACTTGCCTGATATACGTGCATTGCGGTTACAGGACTTTTGGTCCAATTTTTTTTGTCCATAAATTTTTTCGTCCAATTTATTTTGTCCACGACTTTTTGTCCTTGAAATCTGGTCCAAGTTAAATTCGTCCTGGTAAATAGTTAGTCCTACGCATTTGTTCGTCCAGTGGTATTAGGTCACATTTCTGTGGTCCAGTAAGGTAAAAAAGTTATGTCCAAAACTCACGTCCAATGAGGCCGTTTCAGCTATTTCCTTTCAGCTTTCAGCTACTTTCAGTCATCGTCTGAGTCTTCTTCGTCCGAGTCCGGTGGATCTGCGCGTGGCGTGTGCAACTTGAGGTGGTACGCACATGCTCGGAGGTACTTCTTAAGTGAGTTCGTGTCCTTGTAATGTTGGTAATTTCGTTGGTAAAATAACCTCTTCGATGTTTTTTCTTTCGATGTTGGGATTAAATTTAAGGGTCTCCATAGCTACGAAATAAATTGATCTTAACGCCAATTGATTCACACGCCACGCGCAGATCCACCGGACTCGGACGAAGAAGACTCAGACGATGACTGAAAGTAGCTGAAAGCTGAAAGGAAGTAGCTGAAACGGCCTCATTGGACGTGAGTTTTGGACATAACTTTTTTACCTTACTGGACCACAGAAATGTGACCTAATACCACTGGACGAACAAATGCGTAGGACTAACTATTTACCAGGACGAATTTAACTTGGACCAGATTTCAAGGACAAAAAGTCGTGGACAAAATAAATTGGACGAAAAAATTTGTGGACAAAAAAAATTGGACCAAAAGTCCTATAACCGTGCATTGCATGTACATCAGGCAATCGCCTGGATTCACCATAACAGCATAAATTACTTACTTGTGAGAGGAATTTATTAGAGATTTATATTTGCTGTTTTTCTGTTAAGCCTTGACTATTCATGTATCAGACTCAGGTGTGGGCTGAGTCAATTTCTATTTTGTGATATCCATAAATGTTTTTAGTGAGTCGTTTTGATCAAATAAGACAAATACTCTGCACTCTTGACAGTTTCAAAACAAAGCCACTTTAGTTTGGAGGCTCTAAGAATATTGAACTGAAAAAAAGGTGTTAGCGTATTATATTTCCTGTTGCATGAGTGTAATAATTTTAATATTAAGCTTAGTGGTTATGATTGCTTTTGTGAATTGTTTTTTAAGTCTCACCAGAGTTCCGCAGCAGGTCTCCATAATTGTTTTGATGATCTGTGTTTTATCAGTATTGACAGCAATATTGCTGAATGTGATGTTCAAAAGTGGAACAATCTCTTGATCGTGTTACTTTATGCCCCAGACTATATTTCAGTCAGGAGTCCGAAAGCTTGAATACTGAGACTGAAGTCCTCTCTTTGGTGCTTACCTTATGACGATTTTTTGTGGATTGCTAGACAACTTTATTCTTTAGAATTACCCTAATCTACAAAGGTGCGTCTAAATCTGCACTAATTTTATAACAAATTTTTTTCTCTGTTATTTCATAACCACAACTTTCTGATACATCCTGTATTTATAGAAATACCATTGAGAAGTACTTTTTTATAAAGTTTGAAATCCTTTATTCCATTTTAACCTCCTGTGATATGGATTAATTTTGAGTTTCTGCTTCTGAGGGAGGCAGATCTATATCGTAGGTTTGGTAAGAACATCGAGTCGAAATTTTTTTTTTTTTAGTTATTTCGAACATTTGCTCATCATTTTTTTTTTTTAAAAAAAAAACATAATAGATAAAAGTCAGCAACATCATGCCTTAGAGGAATAATTTAACTTTTAAAATACCAAAAAAACATTTTTATGAATAAGTAACACCATTCCATGGAAGGTTAAGAACTTTCTTTTTAAAAATAACGATTTTATATTTTAATTAACTCATTGAAAATTCTAAGTATCTCTACATACCTAGCAGAATTTTAACCAGACAGTTATCTCTACATTGGAGAATCGGCCACTACACAAGTTATGAGTTATAGCACTTCATGACATGCCTTCTCTTCAAAAACGAATAGCACAATAAGATGTCTCAAAATCAACTCCAAAACAAGAAAAAGGTGTTTAAAATTAACATTGATTTAATGGCAAAAATAAAAAAGACGGCATTTGTATGGCCTAACTTCCAAAAATACTTGTTATTTTTTAGTTCAGGAGTTGGTTTCTGAACTTCCTATTGTGTGAATTGTTTTCTATGTAAGATTTTGAAGAGGAGTCATGTGATGTTATCTTCTGGTTCAGGCCTTATCTAGTCACCCATTTTAACCAAGATAATTTGTGAGTGTGGGTAAATTCGTGAAGTGCGGGCACCTGTTACGGTAGGTTTCAATCCAGTCGTGAAGAATAGCTTTGGTATATTATTTAGTGATGGAGTGCATGAAAATAGCTCGTCCTCCTTGATTCTCATTATGCTTCATGCTTCAGATATTTTGATCAGAGGCTATAAATTTCGGCTCCATCTTTTTCCCTGAGAAATTAATTTTCTTGTTGGTTAGGTTCACCTTACCAATGGTAATCCTAATTAATCACATGCGAGAAATGTTTTAAGCAAACTTGTCCTTTTTACTAGCATTTAGATATCTTTGATGTTCCTCATGTGTTCAGTAACTCATTAAGTAAATAGTTCAAACAAAATGTGTGAAAGCACGATTGTTTCATACATGAAGCTATTAAATTGGCGATCTGTGATTTTCTATGTGAACGGCAGTCACTATTTTTAGTTAACCTCATTACTTGAAATTACGAAAGTCCAGCACAATATGTTATTATTATCATGATAAAATGACACAATAGAAAAAATTACAAAGAAAATTAAATGTGCCCTTGTACTTTACTTTTTTAAGGAAGAAACAGTTGTGCTCCGATTCAATTTTTAATTCATTTTAGATTTTATCAAGTGGTTTTAAGATTTTCTCACTTGGCTTGATACTTGATCTACATCATAAGCCTCGAATTTCAATTGTTATTATTATGGAGATTATTTTAATACATATTTTTCCAGTAAATGCTCGCTCTTCACTTTTTTTGACATCTCTAACTCTAAATGTACCTAAATTTCCCTTACAGAACACTTTCATCTCTGATTGTATTGAATAAAAAGGAGAGGAACCAAGTCAGGATTTTGGAACGTGAGTTGGGAGAAGTTAAGAGCTGAACTTAACTGTATTTTTTCTCCTGTCAAAAATGGAACGCAAAGAAAAAAAAGTTCAAAAGTGAAAATTAATGTTGAACTTTACCCTTACATAAACTTAAAATCTCATTTTTCAGTTCGATTTCAATATGACTTGATTTTTTTCTGTTAAACTTGGGTCAGATGACAGTTCCAGGAGATATTGTCACCTTCTGGCGTAAGTATCACAAGGGTCATTTATGTTTGGACACTCTGTTGCCCTACATCTCAATAGGGTTTTAATTTTTTGTTTAAAATTTTTGCACATACTTTTATGAACATTTTGAGAATTTTTGATGACAAAAGAAATGATAAATCAAATTTTTAAGTGATTATGTTCATCAGTTTCTCTGAAAAAATTGGGCAAATTTAAGAGGTTTGGCAACATGGTGTCTGGGCACAAATGGGCCGCATTTAGCAGGACGGAATCAAGCCACATCAGTTATTGCCAAATTTAACACGGCAATTTCATTTTTGACAAGAGAGCATTTGTGCAGATTCCTTAAAAAATGTTAAGGAATTAACTTCGTATTCTGAAAAAAATTTACTGACATTTGCACGACTGTTTGATGTAAAAAATTTAAGAGCCCAATTCAATTTGACAATAGCTGATGTAGCTTGGTTCCTTCCCGCTTCACGCGGTCCAAATAGCACTTGCGATACTTTGGCCAGGAGGTGGTCCATTTGAGTTAGCAACAGTAACTTACGTTGAGGTATGAAATAGATAGCTAAGAGAAACGCAATCCTCTAACTTTTAGTAAAATCAGAGATGGACATTAGGGGCCTCCTCCTGGTCGAGTAAAATTGTTTCTCAAGTGAGGATTTCTCATTTTTCTCTTTAATTCTGTCGACTTGAAAATTTTGAAGGCAGTTACGCCTTGAGTCTGGAGGAAAATTAAGATACCTGCTTTTTTTAAAAGAGGGGTGGGGGAGAGAGGGAGGCGGAGAAAGAAAATATTTTACATCATGAATCCCCAGGAAATTTGAAGGGAGGTGTCAAATGGATCCAAACCAAATATAATTAATGACAAAATATTTATTTTTTTTTGTTATCACAACAAAATATTCATTTTATTCAACGATATGTAGGTATAACAAACAAATGAAATCCTTTACAATAATTTAATTTTCATACGGTAGATGAGCATGGAGGGACTTCCAGATAATATAACTGCTGCATCTGTATTTGATGTTATCATTGATTCCCTATAGAGGGAAGCACTTGTCAGCCTAGTCAAGCACTGAAGTGCAACTCTGTATTTCCGCCATTAAAAATGGTTCTCTTGCTGCATTCACTCGCTCTTTCTTCCTTCTCTCTTTTCCACGTCTCTGAGTTATAGCAAATGGCGACGAAAATGTTTAAATAACCGGCATGCTCCTTTTAACTTTCGGTCGTTAATCATAAATGCCAGATCAGTGCGATATGTCGGTTTCAGGAAACCAGGATGAATCTAGCCTTGAAGCGAAGTTGGCTTAGCTCACGACCTTGGTCCTCCGAATCGCCGCTACTCGAGCTCAAACTCAATCCGCTTCTTTCTCATCAAACGCCGCATATTTACATTAATTTATATAATTAATTTTCATTTCAAGAGACTCCAAGCTTTGGGAAACTATTCGCTGGTCAGCCTGCAGTGACTTTTGAGGAGGGGGGGGATGTGGTGATATAGCCATTAATCAACAACCATCGGTAACCTCGCTGGACATGTTAATAAAAATTATGCTTTAAGTGGGGTCATATACAGTGTGTGGAAGTTTCGGAGGCTGACTATGCTGAGATCGTTCGAGATGAATGAGAGCCAAAGAAGAAATTAAGGCAAGGCAATCAAGTGATCGTCTTGACTCTTTTTTGGTCACTTTGTGTCAAAAATATGATCTCGCAAATCCTGCTTTTCTGAAGTTTATGAAACAAATACTTGTGTTGTTTCAAGGGAACGCTGATGTTGAGCGTGGTTTTTCCATAAATTCTGAATGTCTAGTTGAGAATCTGCTTACTCCATCTTTAGTCGCACAACGAGTTGTTTTTGATGAGATTCGAGCTTAGGGAGGAGTTGAGAAAGTTGAAATATCAAAGCTCCTAATTTTTGGTGTTAGAAATTCCTCATCAAAAAGAGTTGAAGCCTTACAGTTAAAAAAAGCATTAGAAGAAGAAAAGAAGAAAACAGAAGCAGACATCAGGCGAGATATCAAAAATCTAGAAAAAAATAAGAATCGGCTTCTTAGTGAAAGGATGCAGAAGAAACGATCCTTAATAATGAAATTGCTATTTTAAAGAAAAAATTAAAATCTTCTCATTAGCAAGCTGAAAAAGTGAAGACTTTCTTTTTTTTTAATGATTCAATTTTCAATATATTCACTTATTTACATTAGTTCCTCACAATTAGTGAAGTTTTACCAGAACTTTTTACTAAAACTAGGAATAATTTTTTCTAGAGTCAATGTAGTTAGGTTTTGAGTCAACGAATGTTTCTGTCTTTAGACTGATAGGTAGGCTCAATTTTGTATTACTTTCTTTTCTCCGTATTTTAAACTTGTTTATATTGGAGGGACCTTTGAGGTTGTTAAATCTGAAGTTCTGTTTAGTTACGTTTACATTAACTCACTAAAATTTGAATTGACTAATTTTTCTCAGTTCCATTAAAGTAGTCATTGTTTAAAACTTGTATGTAGTTGTTCCTGTGAGACTGCATTTCATGAGGATCTCATTAGTTAAATGTGTTGATTATTTTTTCATTGTTTACTTATTTATGTTTTCCTTCTTTATTTGTTGATTCGTGATTTGTTACCTATGTAAATGTGGTAACTAGTATTTCAACAACTTAAAGTACACATAACTTTAACAATTAGTTATTTTTTTTTTGTCGCAAATAACCTCTTTGAGGATGTGTTTGACATAACATGGAAATTTTGTTTTTGTCTGTCACACACTTAGTTTAAAACTTAAGTGAAATTTCATTCTTTATTCTGTCATTTTTATTAGGTACCACAAGAATAAGTGACCTTCATTTGTCCAAAGCAAAAATTAATGAAAATTTAGGTATTACATTTTTTTTTTTAGAAATCATGTGTATCTTTGTCTCAAAAAACTTGGAAAGTAAGAGCGCGTATTATTACTGAGCATACTTACACCTAGATAAGTTTCACAATCTTTATAGCAATGCCTGTTTTAAAATAGAAGACTCCAATTTTCCGAGGAACATGAAGTTCTGATATTATGTGATCTCATAAGGTTCAGCTCTGTAATCATTGACTGTTTTCATTACCTTTCATCAAGGGAATTGCATAGCTCGAACGAAAACCTTAAATTAGTCAATGCATGTTACTGTGGGATCAACTTTTTTTTTTTTTTTTCTTTTTTTTTCTTTTTTTATTTATGTCCATATCTAATTGTGTGTATTATACGGAAAATAAAAATTGAAATGTGTAGAATAATAGAAAAGACACTCGCACGTTCAGGTTTTCTCAGCAAGATAAATAGTGGTTTTTGCCAAAAATGTAAGTAAAATGTAAGTATTTTTTTTTTTTTAAGGGAGTAAGGAATTTTTCCAAAAAAGTAAGTAAAAAGTAAGGAAAACGTAAGTATTTTTTGGTTCAAAAAATGAGTAGCCACCCTGCTTGCAGTAACATACAAAAAATCTGCCTGAAAGAGGACTTAGAAAAGCAGATGGAGAGTTTCAACCAAGTGAAGGAGCAAACAAAAGTTCTGGTCGAAGAAAACAAATCCCTCAAGGAAAAGTTAGTGGCTTGTGAAGAGTAGCTCGATTTCGTTCAAAATGAAACCCATAGCATGAAGGTAACTCAAGTTCGATTGGAGCAATATGGCCTCAAAAATAATCTCAGCTAAAAAGGAAGAAAATCTAGAAAATACCATCAACAAAATCTGTAACCTTATGTCTCTCCAAATTCCAAATATTGAAATTGTTGCGATTCACAGACTTAAAGAATCTGACTACCATAGGACTAATAATGAAAGTCCTAACATCATAGTCAAATTTCTCAAATACTCTACCAAAATGAGAGTTCTTAATAGGTTTAAAGAATTGTCCGCTTTTATAAAGAATGTATGTACTACATACTTTTAGCATATGGAGCTGTTTCATTGTACTTATGTAAATTTAAATTTTTGAAATAAACAAATCTTGAATCTTGAAAAAAACAACGCAGAAGCCCAAGAAAATTCTTTTTTTTCCTCCTTTTTTTAAATATTTTTCTATTTTAACTCAGAGTCCTTCAATAATTACACTTCAACCATCACAAGTCCATTCCCCATGTCAATACTCATTAGATTTATTTTCTCTCCTTTTGCGAGGCGCTTCTCACTACAGCAACACAAAAAAATCAGGAAACCGTTGCATAGAACAAAAGGCACGGTGCAGGGCATGAGGACCTAGGGTAAAAATTCATACCTCCGCTGCTCCTCTCGAACTCTTGTTCCAGAACGAATGAAGACTATAGCGGGTGGGAGCCCCGACCAGACCCTGCTCTAACAAGCTGAAGGGTTCATCCCGGCGCGGAGCCATGGACGGAGCACCGCCAGTCACTCTAATTTTATGGGCCATAATCGCAAGTTCTCCAGGTCGGATTTTCTCGCTTATGACACCTCCGGGAGTCGGAGGACAAAAACTTAGACCACTTCGTAGCCCTCTGAGGAATGGGGAGTCAATCGGGTGTAGCGTCCTTGCGAGATCCCCAAACTTAACGAGATTCGGGCAAAACGGCTATGTCATGTCCGTGACCCAAGGGGGGCCAAGCTCCAGCAACCATGACCTCCCCCTATTGGGATCGCGGGGATTGTCCAGCGAATCAAGGTCAAAAGGAGAGGAGGAAGACGAGGGAGCACTGCAAGATATGATGGCAATTAATCAAGGAAATCAAGAATAATTGGGCATCTTGTTGTTCAGGATTTGCGTGCGGAATGCTTCTCGCTCAGGGGACACACAAATATAGTGCGTCTACTTCTTGTTGTACATCAAAAGAAGTCGGTTGTGTTCCTCTACTAGCTGTAATAACATACTCTGTAGCAAGTCTCTTCAAGGCAGTTTCAACTGGTGAACGCGATAGGGTGCAGCGGAACGGCTTGTAACGGAGCAGGCATTGCAAATCTGAGTTCCCGTGGCGGGACAAATCGTCATTCACAAAAGTGGGCAAGGCGGATGACGTCTCTGTTAAATTGTTCGATAAATCCTTCCCGACAACATTTTGCCTTTTACAAGCCCCTCGTTTTGCAATTAGATTCGTTGGAGTTTCAAATGATCTTCCAATGGTTTTACCACTGGGCAGAGGTTCTGCTGGAAGATTTGTTGGCGATCCCTTGGATTCTGTATTCTTGCAAGCCTTGGCGTTTACCACCCTCAGCAATGGGTTTCCACAAAGAGACTCATCTTTAGTTTCCTCCCAGGCTTGGTACTTTTCATATATGTTGCGTACAGATAGAATTTTTTCTCTCCTTCCAGACTCGCCATATCGATTAGCATTTAACCTCCACAGGCTACATACGAAATCTGCTTTGTCGATTTTATTTTTGATGGCCTGGAAATCAATCACTTCTAAGGAGAGACATTTTTCATTCAAATGAAACCATTTAGAACAATAATCACACTGCACTTATCCATTCTGCTTTTCCTTACTAAAATTTCTGTTACAGGCAACGCAAACGTGATAGAGAGCCTCCGAATAATACAACAGTGTCATCGAAACATATCTGCGGTACTCATCAGCATTTAACCTGATTCCGAATTCATCACCTCTTTGCTTAAGGAAGCATTGCACAAAGAATAAAATGAAGAGACTGCAATTGTAATCATCACTTTTGGATTGCATTGCATGATCAATCATCAGTCTATTAAATCGCACACTGCTTTTCACTCCTGGCGTAATTTTGCATGCAAATGTTTGCCACTTGTTCCAAGTCTCTAACAACGGTTCTTCCTCTTGTGTATTCTACAGGCAGTGCTACAATTGTTTCAGATTCAGACACACCAAATTTAGCTGTAGAGGCAAACCTGTTTGCCAGAGATGTAAAAAGGGTGTGTACACTGAGACGGAATGTGGCGTAGCCGGCTTTACGTGCACAAACTGTAGTGGTAAACCAGTCAACTGATCCAGACTGCCCATCTTGGCTTACTAACAGTAAGATTAACTACCTGATGGCTAAAAAAAGTATTCCGTTCGATGATGCCGAAGCCACCCTAGAGTCCTGTAGAGCCCAGTATTTCTTCAATGCAAATACCAAAAAACGTTTCTTTGAGATAACGAAAGAAACTCCCTCGAATGAAATGAGTAGAAAAATAACCAAGCCCAAGACCTCTAACGCGAAAGAAATGTCCAAAAAGGCAGACAGAGTCACCTTAACACGGAAAGGTTCTGGCAGGAGCCCTTCTGTCCACCTACAGATCAAAGACCCAACTAAGGATAAATACATGGAGGCTGTGAGTTAAGAGATGTTTCCATCTAGCTGATTTTTAAGCTGAGGTTGCATTCAAAGAAAATGACAATGGATAATGAGCAGACATTGTTTCCCCAAGAACTCCTTTTGCCAGAATTTATTCCACAAAATTCTTTTAAGTTTGTATTATACAATAACTGCTTACGAAAAACCACTTTCTTGATCACTGTCTTCCATCGCTGATTCATCTTCACTGTCCTCATCGCTACTTTCATCGGGATCATTCACTTCAAGTTCGCACTTTTCACATCGACATATGAACAGGTAATTCTCTCTGTGAAAAAAAAATAGATTAGTAAATTAAGGATATAGTTGCGTATAGGAGCAATGTTAACTGGACTACATTTTAGTGAAAGGAATTACGATTTTACTTAAAAAACAACGTACATGTCATTAGTTTTCCTAAACAGTTAGGTTCTTTTATGGATCAGCCAGAATTAGTAGTTAGTTGTAACTGATGACAGGAAAAGAGGCCTTTGTGCATGGAGTCAAATTTACAAAGAGTGACTTCTAATGAGGTGAGTTGAATAATCAGGAATGTAGCTTACAAAACAAGCCACAATCATGCATTAAACCAGGGTTGCCACAGAATTTAGAAGATATATTCCTTGATTTCTCTGGAAAATTTCTGTGAAATTTCCGGACAACTGAAGATATGCCAGATGGTTGAAAAGACATAATTAGAAATAGTTTTCAGGTAAAATTTGTAGTTCAAAACGTCAAACCCATTCTAGAAAGCAAATAAATAAGGTTGACTTGACGATTTTTTCCAGGGTTTCCCAGTACTACCTGACTGTGGCAACCTTGTAGACCCATTGCGAAAAAAAGAAGCTCAACATAGTGGTTGTTGTTCTAAAAAAGAAGAAAACAGCAATATCACTTACTTTAAAATTTTTTGCCGAAAGTAACGCCTCCTACTGGTAACACACTCATCCAAATAGCTTATGCATATTTCTTCGCCTGGTGAAATATTCTTCACTGCTTTTACAGTAATCATAAAATTATTGTGTAAAAAACAGGGTTCTGCGTTGGGAACACAGCTGTGATTGATGCTGCTTTCCAGGCTGTAGAGCGCAGATCCTTCATTATTTAAAAAACAACCAACATCTGCAAAATACCCAAGATGAGGGAAAAGATTACTTCTTCCTATAGCACAGAAGATTGAATAATTCCTTCCATGCTGCTCAGGATGCTCAGAGACATACGTTTTTCCATTGTTATTTAAGTATTTTTTTCCACCAAAAAATGAGCCCTGAGGATACTTACTATTTTTATTTTGTATCCAGATTTACCTTTTTTTAAATTGAGCCATTCTCTTCTGACATGACGTTTAAGTTTAGCAATGCTTTTCAGATTGTGAATTTTATTACGTAACTTGCAGTTGAACAATTTGAGGATCTTACCAGGATCCTCACTTTAAAAATTTTCGACATTGATATATTTTTTCATTCATTCATTGGCATTTGTGTTTGATATGATTGCTATTGTTGGCAGGATTTTTTAATAAATCAAAAACCAAAATTACAGGGAGAAAAAAGACTACACAATCTGAACAGCAATGCAATGCTCTTCCATCATTTCTGAAAAGGATGTTTTACATTTTACAAAAGTTTTTTTCCTTATTTTTAAGAGAGTATCCATGGCTGAGGGTTCCTTTCACAATGGATAAAACCTCTGTTTAGTTTTAACTGAAAGAGGAAATATGTATCATACGTTCATCCATTTGGGCGTAGGAGAGTTGAATCAGGTTGTCGATAGAGGCCTTCTCTTCAGGAGCCACTTGAATATTGGACACGTTCTTCACCCACTGACCAAAAGCTGTTGAGCCAACTCCTTGACCATTTGTTGCAATTAACGACAGGAGAGATAAGAATCCTTCCGGACTTAGCCACTAAAAAAATAAATACTTGGAGTTCAGATCCTACATAGAACGATTAGACCAGACGGGCGAGCTAATTGAATTTTGATAAACTAGCTGCCTAACTATTTTTATGAACCATCAGGGATGCAAAAAGTTCTTAGCTTTTTACATTTTTCTTATTACATTTTTCATTAGCCTCCCCATTTATAAAACTCCTTTTTCCTCAAAAATTTCAAAAATATGACATTTTTATAACTCTGTACTTATAAATTGCCACAATTTTGCACAAAGAAAAAAAAAAAAAGAAAAGAAAAAAAACCGGGTAATTATAACTACGGTTTTGCATGAAAAAAAAAAAACCCCCTTTGCCAGAACCTACCCATTTTAGCACACAACCTGCAAGGACCCATTCCGCTTTGCAGATTCCTACGATGTCCAACTTTTCTAAGGTGATTTATAACAGAGTTGCCACAGAATTTGGAGAATGAAAGTTCCTGAAATTTTCCAGACACATTTTGGTAAAATCCCCTCGTAATTGAAGATATGCAAGATGACCAACAAGACATTATTTGAAACATTTCACAGGCAAAATTTGCTGTTTGGAGGACAAACCCTTTCCATAAAGCAAATAATAACTTACCAATTTTTCCCGGACTTTATAGAATTCCCTAACACTTCCCAGTATTTCTCGACCGAGGCAACCCTGTTGTAATTATTTTAGATCTTATTCCTTCAGCTTTCTTTCCTGCCTTCAATCAAGGGTTTACCAACTCTACCGGCATAAAACGCACAATTTCTAAACTTGGAGTGCCCAGGAAATTTTTAAGCCATTTGTCAAACTCAGTTCAATTTAGACTGCTTGAGCAGTCTGTTGTAGCATTAGCTTCTCTGTCTAAAGAGAGCTAAATCATTCCATTGTACTATATCTTTTTACGGCAAAATACAAGCTAAAAATAAGTTTAGTTAAAGAAAATTTCTGAGAGCTTCCAGGGTGATCTGAAAGTCTTGCATCACCAGCACCACTGTAACTTATGAGAGAATTGAGATAGAAACTAGATATTTTGTAAGTGCTCCTAGATAAAAACAATTCTTGGGATCCACCAAAATCTAAAGGGGATCACCTTGAAAAGAGGCAAGAGCCCTGGAGGGTTACAGCAGTGGAGTGTAACTTTTAGATCACCCTGTATGATTCAACCAGCTGTTGATAACTTCATACAGGCTACTGCCAACAACTGAATTTAAAATTACAAAGCAGAACTTTCTCGATTTCCAACGTTCCTTATATCATGACAGTACTGGCAGGATAGAAAAAGAGTCAATGAAAGTGAGAAACTACTATAAATTGGTCTGTTGTACGCAACAGATACAGTCAACTGAATACACTTTCCACGAGTAAATTTGCTCAAAAATCATGTTAGCCGGCAGTCAGGTTTGCCTGGAGAGAGACCTAACCAAAATAAACAAACAATCTCACGAACTGATATGAATTATCCTTGCGCAAGATTTCAAGTCATTCAAAGCTTTCGTTTTTGCAAAATAAAGAAAGAAAAAGGAAACAAACCTTTAAAAACGATCAAATTCATACAAAAGAAAAAGTTAGTGAAATCGTTTGTTTACTTGGATTAGTTTTTCTGACTCCTGTCTATGCAAACCTGGTCGGTGGTGACTGAGAAAAACTGCCCACAGACGGGGGAAACTTGAAACAGCGTATTAGGAACTGTGCAGATTGTGCACTAAGGAATGAATTTCAGACTTTTTTGAAGTGTCCAACATGATTTTTGTGTGATTTAACCTGTAAAGAGTATATTTATTTGGCTGTATCTCTTGCAAGCAACAAATTCATTGTAAGTCTTTACAAGTTAAACTCAAGTTGTGTTAAGGTCAATGGTAAAGAAATAAATCAATGCCCAAGTTTCGAAAACTTACCTGCTTTGAAAGATCAGATGGAAAAGCTTCGACTAATAGCTGACGGATTTCCTCCAAAACTGCCATGTATTCCTCTCCAAGAAGTTTAATGATCAACTGTTCATTTTCATTGACACTTCTTTGGCAAAACTTGTAGAAAAACAGAAAAACTAGATTAGTAAATGTTGCAAGAGGTGATAAGAAATTGTAGACATCCTTCAAAAAACTCCTTAGAAAGAAAATTGGAAATGAAGACTGCATTACAGGTATAAATCTTCTTTCTCCAAGGATTTGTTACATAAAATATTATAGAGATTACCATGGAAAGCAGTAGGAATTTATCTTCTATAATTAAGTATACCTTACTTCGATGGAAAATAAAAATGGTAAATTATTCCCTTGATCTAAAAGAGCCTCGCCAAGTTTCGCCCCTTTTTTTTATACCCGAGTTGGTCAACCGGACAGTGCTCAAATGAAAGCCTATGGTAAGGCAAACTTCCATGCAAAGTTTCAACTTGAAGTGACCCCTGGTTTAGGCTGCACAGCGTTGCCAATTTTCCAGTTTCATGTGCTAAAATCAAGGATATTGGACTATTAGTCCGGTGCATAAGTAGACTAGTACACCCAAGTTGGTCAACGGGACAGGGCTCAAACGAAAGCTCATGGTAAGGCAAACTTCCGGGAAAAGTTTCAACTTGAAGTGAAACCTCGTTTAGGCTGTACAGCGTTGCCAATTTTCCATTTTTATGTGCCAAAATGAAGGAATTCGGGACTAATAGTCCAATGCATCATAATTAAACAGACTAGTGCATCGGTCTACGAGCTGAATACTACCCTGAGATCGAATAGAAGCGCAACTAAAGGCCATCGTGAACTTTTCGAAGCAGTGTTGCCAACTTATTATTAATTTTTTGACATAAAATTAGGGTTTTTCCGAGATTTTTGGCGGAAAACGTACCTTCATGGGCTATAACTTTGATGAGTGTGGGCTAAACATTACGACTCGATAGTAAATGAACGCTACAGACGGAGAAAATTGAATTCCGAACGCAATGTTGCCAAGTATATTTTAATTTCTTACAAAAATTAAAGATTTTCTTACGTGAATGCTTCGATAACGTAATTTCCAAGGCATTCATGTCATTCTGATGACTGAATATCACCATGGCATAGTACATGATTTCTGTTCAGGGCAAAAATGGAAAGTTCAGACTAACGTTGCCAAATTGTGTACATTTATTTTACGACGAGACGCCAATATTTTTGAGCTTTTCGTGCGAATAATCGTGCTTTCAGGTTCCTTCACCATACAAGGTAGGCAAACTATTACCATACAATACTATCGGATTGATTTTTAAAAGAGAAGACGAATTTTTAAGTCTATATTACCATTTTAAGGCATTTTTACGATAAAATGATGAGTTTTTCAGCTCCAATTTGAAGATATTTTTGAGAAGCAAAACGTGATTTTAGTGGTTTTCTCTTTTTGGGAGGCGTCTCGTCGTAAAATAAATGTACACAATTTGGCATCGTTACTCTGAACTTTCCATTTTTGCCTTGAAAAGAAATCATGTACTATGCCATGGTGATATTCAGTCATCAGAATGACATGAATGCCTTGGAAATTACGTTATCGAAGCATTCACGTAAGAAAATCTTTAATTTTTGTAAGAAATTAAAATATACTTGGCAACATTGCGTTCGGAATTC